TGCTGGCAGCTGGGCCTTAGACATTGCTCTTGATCCTCACCGCTTTGTAAAATTCTTGGCATTGGAACGTCACCATGAGCTGCTGAAACGCTGTTGGGACCAAGTTTTGTTGGACGCAGCGCTGGTGGTTTTGGTGCGTCGTCTACTTCTCCAGCGCCTACCATTGGGTTCCTTACCTCGCCTGGTCCAAGCCTTGCCAGACGTTGTTGGCCGGAGAATTCACCCAAACAGAGCGGCTGGAGTTCATGTACGACCTTCAGCACAAAATCCCATCGGCTGTCAAGTACACTGCCTTCCTGCCAGATTGTGTGGCCGTGTCGCAGTGCTCTGAGCTGCTCAAGGATCAGCGACGGTGGAACATGTTTCCTGCAACCTTTGCGTGTCTACACCATGTGCCAAAACACCCCGTGCCAGAAGATCGACGCTTGCACACACGGCGAATCTCTTCCACGTATCCAACGAGGATACCATTTCGTTTCTAGCTTCCAAATCCTAGTTTCCGAATACGCCGTTCTAGTTTACGAATCCCGCGCCGTGCCTAGTTTCCAAATCCGTGGCCACCCTAGTCATGAAAGGTAGCTTCATCTACCTGAGTTCAATTAGCTTTAGCTACAGGGCAGGATCCTCCCACATGCCATGACTTTGGGCTCGCGAAACTCGATTCTGTATGACAGGGGGGGGCCCCCAACTCCACCCTGAGACTGGTGAATTTTCCTTCAATTGTACTGATACCTTGGATTTGTATCGAGCTTCTCCTCCCTCCTCGTCATTTGGCTACTGCTGCTGCTGCTTTGCTGTGATTGGATTCGTATTGAGCTTCTCAGCTGCTGCTGCTGCTTTGCTGCTGCTGCTTTGTTGCTGCTGCTGCTGCTCTTCAAATCCCCTTCTCTTCTCTTCTCTTTTCTCTTCTCTTTTCTCTTCTCTTTTCTCTTCTCTTCTCTTTCCTCTCTTCTCTTTCCTCTCTTCTCTCTTCTCTCTTCTGTCTTCTCTCTTCTCTCTTCTCTCTTCTCTCTTCTCTCTTCTCTCTTCTCTCTTCTCTCTTCTCTCTTCTCTCTTCTCTCTTCTCTTCTCTCTTCTCTCTCTTCTCTTCTCTTCTCTCTTCTCTCCTCTACTCTTCTCCTCTACTCTTCTCTACTCTTCTCTTCTCTACTCTTCTCTTCTCTACTCTTCTCTTCGCTACTCTTCTCTTCTCTACTCTTCTCTTCTCTACTCTTCTCTTCTCTACTCTTCTCTTCGCTACTCTTCGCTTCTCGTCTCCTCTCCTCTCCTCTCCTCTCCTCTCATCTCTTCTCTCACCTCTTTGAATGTTGAACTTACTGACCTACCTTTCGTCCACCCCCTCCCACTCAAGTTTCCGAATCCGCGACTCTAGTTTCCGAATCCGCCGTTGACCGCTGACTCCTTCTTTCGGACTCTTACTTGGACACGCCCCAAAATATACCTATCCAGGAAAAGTGCGCAACCTGCAGGTCACCTTTGTTTGTGTATTGGAGACACCCCACTAATTTCAGGTGCAAAAGGTTTATATAACTACACCTTGATTTTCTGGGGGGTCAGGATGAAACACCATCTCAGCAAGTAGAGCATGGTTCTATCACCTGCCTCCTGGGTACAAACAGGTCAGTTAACCATCAGGTATTTTCAAGGAGATCCCCAACCGATGGGGTTTGGCCTATTGTCCTTCAAGGTCTCCCCTAGTGAAACACACAAAAAATGTTTATACAACCCTAGCGTGCCGGGCAAAGCAAAGATCCAGCTACCACCATACCACCATACACTCCAGGTCTGGTGAATGGCATGGTCCCCATGAAAAGCCAAGGTCTGGTGGTGAACTCCATGGCCTCCACGTGATCAATTCCCACGAATGTAGTATCTCTGAGTGAATCAGATCCATGGAAGTGGACGTACTGATCCGTCTGGAAGTGCGGCGAGTGCAACGAGTGGCCGACAGCACTTCCATGGTGAGTCGGAGTGTAACCTTCTTCGTCTCGGCCATGAACATGGCCATAGGTGATGGCGGAGCCTGGTTCAGAACCACTGAACATGAACAGACGACTGAGGAGGTGAACCTAATTACCAGGGGCTTCAGGTCTCCAGGTGGGAAGTTTGTTTAAACCTTTCATGTTCCTCACATGTCCCAGCCTCCGGGAGTCAGTCCTAATGCTCCCCCCAGCGAGACATAGCGAGACCACTCGTTGAAGCTGCTGATCCTTTTCGTTCTTGCAGGAGATCGAAGCCTTGGTCGCCGAGCTGCAGCAGCGGCGCAGCGAACACCTGGGGCAGCGAAGGCAACTGCTGCAGTTCCAACAGAGCTCGGCGCAACTGAGCTCCGACTCGCAAGCGTCGCTGGGAATCCGAACCGAACCGAAGCTCCGTTGGGTACGAGAACGGGCTGGCACGCGGCAAGAACGGTGTCGAACACATCACCAAACCTCAGGTTCAGTACGTGGGTCCTGGATGGAGAGTTCTTGTTTTTTCTTGAAGGATCAAGACTTGTGGCCTTGGATGACTTGTTTCCTTGGCGCCACTGGATGTGGCAGTGTGAATTGTGGAAGGCTGCAGCGTGCTGTATTTTCTATCATCGTCCAAAAGCTTTGGGTGCAGCACTGAAGCAGGTAGCTTTTCACCACAGAGACAGAAAACGGTGTTTGTCCTTTAAACCTTTTCCAAGAGGCTGAGACTGCTCATCAGACTGCTGCATAAGTTGAGCATCCGGATTCTTCGGTTGCGGTTGTGCTTGCACCCCTGCATCACCCAAGGTGGGCTCGCAGTGCAGTGCGGCGCCAGGCAGAAGAGAATGCCCAACAAGTGGAGTTGCATGAGGAGCTCAGCGTGGCAAGGACTGAATGACCGTGCAAAACTCTCTGAAACAATATACAACGGAATTGGATGGCACGGCCCCCTACAATCCCGGATGACAATTTTCCGGGTGGTGTTGGTATTTGACTGTCCAACCAGTTGTTGGTCTAGACCCGCCAAGTGAAAAAAGGACCACCACTCATCAAGCTGCTCAGCAATCAAAAAGCGGACTACCCTTACCCTCTGACAACAACACGGAACAATCCTTTGTCTCTAGCAGCTAAATGCATTCTTCTCAGCAAACCATATGCGCCTTCATGTGAGTGAGTAGTGTAACCCCTGCACAACAACAGTAATCACTTGCGGTCACTCTGACCCCAGGCTATTAGCCAGACACTCCATGGATGCCATATGCCTACATTGACTCCCAAACCCACCCCAACTGATCGGCATATATGACAGTCCCATTAGTCGTGTCTGGGCTATGGTTCTGAGGGACCGAGCGTCCGGGCTGTGAACTCACGGAGCATTTGGGTGGTTTGGCTTCCAAGTGGCGGCTTCGTAGTCTACATACGCTCCATGTATGCCATATTTGCCGATCAGTTGGGGTGGTTTGGGGGTCAATGTAGGCATATATTCCATACATGGAGTGTATGGGATAGCTTGATGAACGGTTGAGGGCCTTTCGCAGGCTCGACCAGCTCGCACCTTTCGGGATCGAAGCCAAGCCTAGGACACAAAGGTCGGGCTGATGAACGAGACGTCTAGGGTCGCGTTTGGGTGAGTGTTTACTCCGTAGATTCACAACATGCCCACAGGTTTGTGAGAAATCCACGGTAGATTCCTCAAAATCCTCTCGTCACGGGAAGAGTTAGATAGCCCTCGTGACGGTTCGTGACCAGTGTTTTGAACCATGGCAACGCTTTGACCCGTGTTTTTTGACCTGGCAATTGAAAGTGACTTGACCAGATAAGTTACCCACCGGCACAACGAACCATTCGGCATGTGTGTCTCGACATGAAATATATCACCAGCAACTGGTATTCACGATGCTTGAAGTCGTATACACACAATAGATGGTACCTCCTGCTGCTTCTCCAAGTTGCTACTTCCTTTGCGACCGTTCCTACAGAGCCACGTATCTCAGCCAGCCACCGAGGAGCCAGCTCCAACACGATGAAGAGCTCGTGCAGGAGGCCCGACCGGGGAGGACGGAGGAGCACGTGGACGGAGAGAAACCTCTCCGACTTGGCGTCCGCGACTCGTCGGGCTGTTGGATGCGACTGAAGGGTTCTCCGATTGGTTCAAGGGATCCAGTCGGACCGAACCCGAGGTGCGACTCGGATCCCCAAAAAGGTTGATGTGACCCAGTTCAGAGACGAAAGGCAGGGGACTTGTTGACTGGGTCGACTAGTTCCATGGTTTTGAGGCCTGATAGACGGTGTCCTTCAACCGTCGCACGTGCTGCGCCATGCGCCCGCGGCACAGGTGCACCAGCACCGCCGCCACGAGGAAGCCGCCTACGTGAGCCTCCTGCGCGACTCCGCGCGCCACGCGCGGTGCGAGCGGGAGAAGTTGGTGGAGCTCCAGGCACAAAGGGCGCAGCTAGACCCTTGGTGAGCGAGTGCCAGTGCCAGTGAGGTGTCCTATACGCGTAAGCGCACACGCCTACACGCTCTACTCGCGCGTGAGGGAGGCAGAGTTTGCATTGCTGGAAGGAAGTCTTGGTGAGTCCTGATGTTCAGGTCGTTTGGCGACATGGGCATGGGCCAATTGGTTTTTCAGGGTGGGTCACACTGCATGGGCTGCGGGAAGAATCCCCATCGATTCGACCAACACGTGTTCGTCGACGGACGAAGGATTCGTCGACCCCTTGATGGCCACCGAAAAATCCCTCCGCCAGAGTCTTTGGGCCAATGGATACGAACAATCAAACCCTGGCAATGCAGATCAAGGAAGTGGCATTCAACAGGGGGTATTAATCAAGAGTCTACATGAAGGGATTTGTTACAGTCAAGGACTCACTGGATTGCATATTAACTTTTGTCCATCTACTGCAACCACGGGAGAACCATGAGAGAACCTCAAGGGATTTGTTTGAGGAGCCTATTTGGGTGTTTTTCACGGGCTTCTCCTGTGCGCCTCGACGCGCGTGCGATCTCTCAACTGCTAACGGCTGCTGTTCGCAGTGTTTTGGCTCTGACTTGGAGAGGATTCCCAGCACAATTTCTGTCGTGAGACTCTGTGCCTCTCGGTTCTGCAAGAAACGACGTGTTTGCTTTTGGTGATCTCTGAGCAGCTGTTTCCTTGTGTTCAATCATGTGTGATTGGAAACTTCAAAAGTTCTTCCCATTCTGGACCAGTGAGGCATTTGTGTGCAGCATGCGACACTTTGTGATCAGACACTTGGCAGAGTTTGCTGATCCGACCATGGAACGTTAACTCGAGTGGGCACCCACCAAGCTCGTTGGGCTTCAAGTTGGACCCTCTTGGCCTCAGGTTCGGTCTGACTGAACCCGAGGATCGCACCGTACCGGTGATGGCTCGAAGGAGTCCAACTCCCCGTTGGGCAGAACAGGGCTCTTTTCGTCGTCGTATGACCTACCGGACCAGACATCTGATCCTTACCCAGACACTCCATGTATGCTGCCGATCAGACCCCGACTTCAACCACCTTAATGTAGGTAAATATGCCATATACCAGGACCCTCCTGTCGGGGTGTCCTGGCTGGACTACTCCTCACTACCTAGGATGGCTTCCAGACAGGGCACCCCGACAGGAGGGTCCAGGTATGGAGTGTCTGGGTTAGGATTCAGGGATTCCGCCGCTCCAAAGGAACGCCGAAGAGATGGAAGGATCTCTCACCGCACTCTTTCTGATTGACCCAGCATGTACTTCCTGGACCACCTGCAGGATGTACGTCCTTTGGGGGGGGGAAGAATGGGAGGTTTCCCCATGAAAAAATCCAACAGGTGGAGTTGGCTTCACCATGCTTCATTGTGAAGAAACGGCCTCGGTTGTTATTCTAGAAGAACGGTCTAGTCTCACCCTAAGGGCTCCGAGCGTCCCATCTCCTCAGGTGACCGGTGGTTAGACTTCCCCTGGCACCCACCTTCACCGCCAGAAGCCCTAGGTCAGAACCAACGGTTTGTCCTTGTCTTGACGCAGAGGACTTTGGGATCAGACCGTTGTGATCACGGTATTGGGTGCATAGACTGACTTCCCCAAACGCCGGCCGGACCCGTCCGGACCTTCGGACCGACCCAGTCGGGTTGGTCCGGACCTTTTGAGCGAACCTCGCGAAGCGGAGCGAAGCGCGCTGGGCTCAAGCCGTGCGCGGAGAGTCCGGTCCGGTCGTTCCTACAGGTCAGTGAACGATCTCATGTTAAAGACTGGAGTTGGTGATACAATGTCATGATATACTTAACAAGGCACCACTTTTCAGTGGTCAGACTGAACTGGTCATGGTTCGAGGGATCGAATCTTAAATTTGAATAGGGCGATCTCCCAATGGATTTCGTTCAGTGGTGGCCATCGCCACTAGTAACAAGTAGTCTATACCAGGACCCTCCGTTCGAGGTGTCTATGTCCATAGCCCTCTTAGAGGTTAAGTAGGAGGTGTCCCAAAAACCGCCGGACGAAAGGAAGGTCCTGGGTAGTAGTTCCCAGACACTGCATGGGATTGCCATAGGACTGCCGATCAGGCCAGACCCCCAGTCAGTCAACCACTCCTGGCCGTTTCTCGGCAGTCCGGACTGGCAGTCCCATGGAGTGTTTGGGGTTGAGTTTGTTCTTGATTTCTATGGCCGATCAGTTAACCCCCAGTCAGTCAGAACAACTGAGTTTGTTCTTGATTTTCTCCCAGAAATCTGTGGGTCTCCGTTCGGATCACCGCGCTGTCCGTGTCGGTCCTCGGGGTCTACGTCGTCTTAGCTAGCTAGGCTTGTTGGTGCCATTGGTGGCGGCGCAGACGTGCTTGGACGATGCGATCCCGGAGGCGGAGTGGAAGAACCTGGAACCTTGGGCTCGTCTGACGGCGTTTTCTGAGAGGGAGAAGCTACTGACTATAGGGGTTCCTGGCCTTACTACGAACGGAGCAAGGACGCTACGAATCGGGCTCCTGGCATCGCTACGAACGGAGCATTCTAATATTTATATAAGCTTAAGAAGCTACGAACGGGGCTCCTGGCATCGCTACGAACGGAGCATTCTAATATTTATATAAGCTTAAGAAGCTACGAACGGGGCTCCTGGCATCGCTACGAACGGAGCATTCTTACTATGATTACAAGAAGCTACGAACGGGGCTCCTGGCCTTGGTGGATGCTCGTTTTGGGGGTTCGCAGTTTGTGCCGGTGTGTTGTCCGGATTCACTGGAACGAGGTACAGTGATGTGTTCGACACTGAGACATGTAGGCGGGGTCCAGTCGTAGCTCGGTACTTGGATCCCTCGGTACTAGGGTGTGTTGTGTGTTCTATACCAGGACCCTCCTGTCGGGGTGTCCTGGCTGGACTACCCCACACTACCTAGGATGGCTTCCAGACAGGGCACCCCGACAGGAGGGTCCAGGTAGTCTCTTTTCGACGGGCTGGGCATGGTTTTTTCGGAGTCGAACGTGAAGAGTGGGCAGGAGGCCACACCCGTTTCCCAGACACAACATCCATGGGACTGGTTGCCTACGACCCCTTTTCTACGAGCCCAATGTATGCAAAAGATGCCCGTCCCATGGGAGTGTTTTGGGTTTTGTTCAGAGACCCCAACCGAAGATGTCGGCTCGAAGTTCCAAAACGTGGATCGACTTGCCGGCAGCAAGGGAGAACGGATTTCGACCCTCGCGAGTTTGACCAGGTGTCTTTTTTCAATGATTTGGTCCTGGGTCGTATAGACATGTCAATGTGTATAGGCTCTTGATTTCAATGCCCCATACTAGTATGATTTGCAAATTGGACGGTTCATTGATCAAGATTCTACATTCTACGAGTATATACGTATATGTGAAGGTTAGTAGGAGGGCAAGCATCCTGTAGAGAACTATAGCATCTAAGCTCAATAACTTAACACAGTCTTGTATACGTGTGACTTGATAGAACGACTTCAAGCTCGACTAACTAGCCCCATTTCCTCTCAGGAGAATGCCAATGGAGAATCATATCCGCTCGGGATTTGGATCGCCAACTATGCGGCTTCCTTTGCAGCGAATGAAATGGTCCGAACCCTTATCCAGGAGAGGCAGATGGAGAGGTGATGGGGTATGGACGTTGTATAGGAAAAGACCCCGGGGCCCCGGGACAGAGCACGAGCCGAAGTGTCGGTCAACATCGAGTTGTTGGACCGGGAGAGGTGGTTTTTGTCGAGCTTTTGGGCCTCCAACCTCGTAGGTCTTCAAAGTGTTGGAGTTTGGGCACAAGTGTTGTGTGAATAGATCGTATTTGCTGCAAACTCAGGCCTTTGCAAGCAGCAAATGACCAACGTGAGAGCTTGTTTGCGTTCTGCAGGTCCTCAAATAATCCAGTGCTTCGGTGCTTTGTACAGAGAAGCACATGAAAAACCTCTGGAAAGAAACGGTCCAGTGCTTTAGCGCCTTGTACCAGGAAAACCAAAATACCCCCTGGTTCAGAGAAAAACGTCTACACCCTGGTCCAGAACCGACCCGAGACCAGACCGCTTCGCACCCTTCTCGCGCAGGAGGTCTTTGGCTTCAAGACCACCAGCGGCCTGGGCGCCGGCACCGTGACCGGCTTCTACGCCATCACCGGATGCGCCGATCCAACGGCCCTCGACGCCGCCGGCCGCAACTGCGGCAATGGCAACGCGGGGAAGCCCGGGACACCGGCCAGACGCGGTGTTGGCTGGAAACAAGCTCGACTGGTCCCTGCAAACCCTATAGGATTGGTGAGAAGGTCCGGAAACCCTAGGGATTGGTGAGAAGGTCCAGGGGTTTGGAGGGCCCAGGGTTTTTTTCCTGTCTGGAAATGATATGTGGATGGGATGGTGGTTACGTGGGGATGTGGATGGCCCACTCTCAGTGACCAGAACATCCGACGTGCCAAACAGCTGGTGCCATGATTCTCCACGTCACCACGGAGGCTCTTCCGTGTCGGGCCTACCAGGCTTCCACGTACCTACCAGAAGACCTCGTCCAGATCCACTGCGAAGACCGATTTTTTTTGCATTCGTCCAGTCGGGTTCAGCATCCGCTTTTCCCAGACGAGAGCGAATCTGACACTGGACGAACCTGTTTGCGTACATGGAAAAATTCAGGTCAACAAACGCACCCTGTTTGGGTGTGTCCCTGTCGATCTGTCGATCTGTGATCAGTCGTCGGTCAACAAGCAAATTGCTTAGAGATGGATGTCGGCCTGTCCCATGGCCTCATCATCATCCACTGGGCCCGGGGAATGGGGAATGGGATAGACTGATAGACTATCACCTGTTCGGGGGCCACACCATCTTCTCGGGAATGGGATAGACCCAAGATATGCCAGTCCCAGACCGGTCGTGTCTGGGCTTTGCATTCTGATTGAGTGCTGTTTGAGCCCATGCGTTCGTCATCGTTCGTCTCTAAAACCCAAGTCTCTGAGTTTCACATGTGTTGGACCGAGAACCAATTGGCGGACTTTTTGCCTATACCTGAACCATTGCCTACCTGCTTTGTTGTGTATGGACCCCATCGTATGCCTGGACCGCCCTCGAAACGGCACACAAATAGGGCCGTCGCAGTGGCGTCGTCTTCCCGACGCGTCTGAAAGGGCCGGTGGTGAGGTGAGAAACGCGGTTTCACCGTGGAAAGGCGCTGAAACAGCGGTTTATGGGGTTTCACATGTGAAACTCTTTAAGCAACCCTTTTGAAAACGGCAGAAATCTTCTTGATTACATATGATTATATGACGTGTGTTTTTTTCCGTGACACATCCCTTATATAGCAACAAGTTAGGCCGGTTGAAGATCCAGATATGTATGGCATGTCCTTATTACGCTTATTATGTTGAACATGTTTTTCTCACAATGCATCGCTTGATGTGTTGGCGTAGCTCGGCGTAGCATAGCTCGTCTCTGCTGAGGCAACCAAATTTCACGTGCACATGGAGAGTTGGAAGGATGGCTACCCATTGGTGTTTGCTGGCCTTGAGACGCATGTTTGCTTCAGAGTTAGTGCTTTGAGAATATCGATTCTGTTTGGTGGCCACAAGTGTTTTAATATCCTTTTCATCATTCCAGCACGTTAGCACCACCCGCAGAATGGCACATTTTGGAGAAAATACTTGGTCAATGCCTCTCCATCTCACTCGTGTGCGAAGAAGATTGGACAAAGGATTATCTCTACCAGCGCCTTCCTGTCGAGGTCACCTGGCTGGAAGTCCCCATACTACATATGGATCTCCAGCCAGGACACCTGCAGGAAGGCAAATCTAGTTGATTCGTGAACACCCTCCCAAAAAAAACCAAACCATCCCAAACCACTGGAAACAAATATAGTTGTTCCAATATTCGTATGGCAAATCCATGCAAATCCCTATTCATCGGACATGCCTGGGACTGTAAAAAGAAGATCCTTTTCCATGTTTTCTGATTGAAACAGACGAAATCTGGATGTCCATCGGTGGTGTCAGCTCGATGGGCCACGGTGATGTCCGACGGTCTGCGACCTGCGGACGCGTCGGGACGGCCCGGCCGGTGCCGACCTCGGATTCTTCGAACAGAGGCGATGTGAATTGCAAACATTGTTACTACTAGTAACAAGTGCCTTACTAGTAGTAACAAATATAGCTATTAGAATTAGATTAAATTAACTAATAGAATTCTTGTTACTATACTAGTAAGGCACTTGTTACTAGCAGCGATGCACTTGTTCCTAGTAGCTTCTTGTTTCTAATAGCTTCTTGCTCCGTTCGTAGTAAGGCCAGGAGCCCCGTTCGTAGCGTCCGATCGCTCCTTTCGTAGCGATGCCAGGAGCCCCGTTCGGTTCGCGATGCCATGGTTCAACCGTGGGTCTTTCCACTCCACACGAGTTTCGGGAGTATCGATCGACTTCATGTCTCAAAGTTCGGGTAGTCTGCATAGTCACAGATCGTCTTGTCGTACCCGTTCGGACAATAGGACCATGTCCCATGTTGGAAGGCCATGTCTTGAAGTCGTTGCTTTGCAAAACACATCAAATACCGTGGTACCGCCACGTCCTGCACAGTTTCCCACGCACGACCCGCTGACTCCGTTTCATCGCGTGACCGGCTTATTGCCGCCCAACGCGACCAACGCTCCTGCGCCCTAAGGAGGGACTACCCCGCAATGGCGCCGAGGAACTTGGGGAACATGGGCTACAACGGCGACGCCACCGGCTTCATCCCCAAGCCGGTGCAACAGGCCGCGAGCTCCGGGCGCCACGCGAGAAGCCGGTCGCTCGTAACGGGAGCACGGGCGGCAAAAGAACGGCAGGGGATGCTTTTTTGTAGGTCGTGTGGCGAGGTTTCAGGGGTGTTTGCGCAGGTTCGGAGGGGGGTTTGACCCATTGCCATGGATAATATTGTGTGCTTTTTGATGCAAGAGAGTTGTGAGTGGTGTGCAAATAGCAACAACGCCTCTGACAGGGTGTGTGTATGTGTCTATCCCGAACACTCCATGTATGGAATAATATTTACCTACCCTCGAACCACCACAGGTAAATATACCTAGATCTTCAGTCCGGCACTTTTACAGGGTCCGGCGCCGGATTCGATCTCCAGCATTTTTCTGGATTTGGTCTGGCAGTTTTTCCAAGTAACTTTATGTGGATTCTCAAGGCTTTGCATTCTTTATGGTCCACATTTCTTTGAAGGTAAACCCACTACTGACAAATAATTTTGCTCGAAATTGTGCTCGTTTGCCCGTTCCGCTGTTTTCTCATTCCACCGGTTTCAGCAGTGGTTCACACCGGCTCAGTCAGATCCATTTAGGTGATCTTCTAAATGAATTTGATACAGTGCGATGCACGTGTAGCTGAAAGAACATAGGCGATAATGTATTCCCTTTGTTTCAGGATGTCGGGGCGCTGGGAAATAGTTCTAGCTACGCAGGTTTGCAGAGCCTGCCGGACAGGCTTTGGGTTGTGGAACGTATGTTGTTCAGAATCTCAATGCTTTACCGCATCGCAACTCCGTCGTAATTTCCCGTAAATCCGACGTAATTTCCCGTACGTTTTTTTGGGACTCAGTCTTTTGAAGGCTCGGAATCTCGAAGGTTTTGACTGGAACCATGAGTTCTGCTACGTTGATTAGGGGGTCCAGGTCCTGAGGCAAACTGAACGTCCTGGAGAGCAACCCGCTTTGTAAAAGAGCTTTAGAGACGGTTGCAGAGAAAGAAGGGCTCCTTGCCACATACTCCTTCGTTTGTTTTTGCACGTGTTTGCTTGGGCACAAATTTGCACATATTTTGTGAAGGTTCTTCTCTTTGGCATTTCGGAAGATGGGCGAGGGCAATGGGAAGTTGTGGAATGAGTGTGTTCCAGAAAAACTACTCGTGGCGCAAAGGCAGTTTTTTTGTGTATGATCCAACCTTTCATCATCTCTGTTTTTCAATATCTTGGATCCGGATGTTTTTTTCAGGTTCTCGGTTTTTTTTCGGAATCCGGCGGAAAATTTTACCGGATTGAGGTTCGGCATGGTCCGGCACTTTTTTTAGCCTAAAGGAGGATCCAGGTATGCCATACATGGAGTGTTTGTATCAAGTTATGAGATGGCATGGGAATGCATGGGAGTCGTTCTGCACGGTCGACCGGTCTTCGCTTCATCCCGCAGGCAGCATATGCGAACGAGGGCTTGGCATTGCAGTACTACAGGAATTGGACACTTTGGATTTATTGAGCTGAGTAGGTGTTGCAGTAGACGATGCTGATCCACTGGTTGTTGTTCTTCAAGTGATGCAATTGGGTAACTGTGCCATCCAAAGCTGGAGGGCTCGTCCCATCCACAAAAGTCTCAGTAAGTCTGTTAACTTTGACGAGAATGTGCAGGGAACCGACCAGTGTTTTCGTTCGACCAAGATGTTTTTGCCCTACGTCAATGGGAACATCAATTCCTAGGGCTCCAGTAGTACCTTGTGAGAAGGTGTTTGGAGTTTTCTTAGAAGGGTTCAGCCATACCTTCTGAGGAGGTACGACTGGAGCCCTACGGAATCATACTGACAACGGTTTCTAAAGCTGAGGTGAGGGTTCCGCAAGGCTTGTGAACTTGCCATTTTTATTGACCTAGAACCTGACTGACCTTTATTTGGACCATTAACCACCCAAAAAACATATGCACTTCTATAAAAACAGGGGTCAATGGGTTCCAGGGATGATATTTGTTGTATGTCATTGAAATGGAACATCAATGATACGGACAATGGTTTGATGGCATTACTACTAGGAACAAGAAGCTACTAAACCACTTGACTTCCCAAAACCCCCACCCGCCCGGGGTGCTCCGCCATCTACTATGGGGTGGCATGTAGGAAACCTACATAACCTGCACCGAACAGAAGGGCGAAAAAATGGCGGAGACACTGCACTCGTTTCAGTTCGCTTCAACCCGAATTCTGGGTCGCGGCCGAAGGGGGTAGCGGTGTGCTTCGACTCCGCATCCCAGGAACGCATCCTGGTTCGATCCAGCGAAGTACTTCGATACCATCGACATGATCGATGGCTCCGCCTTGCTCCGCCCCTGCAGCGAGACGCTGATTGGTGACTCGGTGGTTTCGGACCTTGATTCTTCAATCCATCTCATGGTCCTCCTCTTGGTTCGTGGGTGAGTCGCAACATGGCAACGCTGCCGCAGGTGATGATGAAACGATTCGGCACTACTTGGATCGCACGGGCGACACGGCTGGTGTCATCTACGACTCCGTGGCAGACAAATATTCTGGTGTTTGCACGCAGAGCTATTACTGGACTCTTGCCTGGCAGATGGGTAGGTCTCAAAATAAGCAAAGAGGCCTGGGAAAAGGAACATGTTAGGAACATATATAGGGTTGGTTCAGCTGGCCCCCTTGTTTTTGTGGAGCCAATCTTCGATAGCAAGACCATGAATGTGTCCCGATGCCAATACCCTACAGTCAGTCAATGGACAACCTTTCACCTTCTTTATTGGTTTTGTGGGAGTTCATGAACCAAACATATAGGCACACAGCTGCCTTTTCGTTTCTAGGCAGACAGCCTAGGGTGCCCGGGCGGAAGGGGCGATAGCGCTATCGGTGACGCTTGCGGAGGAGCTTTCGCTGTGGTTCAGGTTTCCCCATCAAAATCCAGGTGGAAAAAAAGTTCACCTTCATTTTCCAGTCAAACTGAAGGGCCACGTTCTTCAGTCGCTGAAAACTACCTTGCAAGGCGTCTTGCCTGCAGACATGAGGTTGAAACGCGCGGCCCGAAACCAGTGAAGAGGTCTCCTCCATCTACGGTACGGTACAAACAAACCATCGCTCCTATGGACGCTGCGCGATGGGCGAAATGTTCAGAAGATTCGAGGCTCTTAGGTTGGAGGCCATCGCTACTAGCTAGGTTGGAGGCCCACGGTCACGCTGCGGATCTCGTCCAGGTCGCTCAGGCCATCCATTGCTCGACCAGTCAACATTCGTTCCTACAAAATCCTAGGAGGCACCTGGAGCGGTGTTCTCATGTTGTTTGTGCACCATGGTCCATCCCTTGACAGCTTGCCTAGTTCGTGTTCGAAAAGGCCTCCTAAAAGAAGTGCAATCTGACAATGACAATTGAAGCGATCTACAGCCCATTGGTTTGGGCATTTAAGAAATCGTTCCCAACCTGTTTCCCGTTGATCGCCCAAGCGATGCGAGAATCGCCCAAGCGATGCACCGCTCAGGATCGCGCCCTCGTGCCGGGCGAATACATCGAAGTGTGTCCCCTGGGTGACGGGAGGAGTTGGCTGGGCCTTGCACGAGATGTTGCAGAAATGCACGATCCTGTCTGTGCCGTTGGCTTTGGCGGTGGCCAAGGACTGGACGGCCTACACGCAGTACCTGGACGCCATGAGAAACGGGGTCCGTCTGACTTGTCGGTCTAGCTGTGACCTGTCGGTCCAGCTGTCCAGGTCTGACGAAGAATTGTGTTTTTGTATGACCAACTCCAGTGAAATGAGGTGCCCACACGCTCCTGGACCCTCATATGCAGGGGTTGGACCCTCGTATGGGGCTTGGATCTGAACCAATCCCTATGGTTTTGGGGGACCGGTCGGGCTGTGAACGGAGCGTTTGGGTGGGGTCTTTTACTAAGACCCTGGCCCAAAGAAATTACTAACACCCTATGTCTCTATGTCGTGCCTTCTTCCAGCGCGGTCGGAACGCCGAACCAGGTTCGGTCGACCTGCAGGTCTTAGGCACGCTACGCACCCAGGTCTTCCACCTCTACCAGGGCCCGGGGTGCCTTGGGGTGGTGATTGGATACCCCTTAACCTCGAGCTCTAATTAGACACCCCAAACAGGGGGCCACTGGACCAGGCCCGTTGTTCTCAACCTTGCATGATCCATTGATCCATTGATCCACTTCCAGGTATCCATTTGTGCATCCGAAGTCCTACTTCTATTGGTGGGTTCCCGATCCCACCTTCCTGGAATTGCAGCCGCTGTCGCTGGTTTTTCCTCCCTATGATGGCCGGGGTTGGAGCCGCGGAGACTATACCTCAGCCGGCAACGCCGTCTCCATCGACAAGCTGGTGAGTCACCCGACACCAAACGCCCCGAAGCGCGCAGGTGTGGGGTGAAGCCATCGAAGGGAATCTCATCGAACACACTGTAGCAGTGTACAACCAATTGCACAACCAATGCCCAGGGTGTGGGGTGTTGGATCTAATCTATATATATAATATATAATATCCCAATGGTGGTGTGTTCTCTAAACCACCCCATGCCATGAAATGAAGGGAAACGTGAAACAAATGGTGGATGTCAGCAAAGATTTTTAAGGACGGCAGATGTCTTTCCAGTGGAGCTTCCCTCAGAAGGGGTTTACCGTGGTTTACCCCAAGCTGCAGGCCATTGCCTTGCAGGTAGTTTTCTCGGAACTGCTGTTTGGAGGACATATATAGGTTTCGCATATTGTTTCCACATGGTTTCTGTTTCTTTAGGGACGGAATTGATCCTGCGCGCATCCTTCCGCCACGAGGCGGCGCCGGCGCTTTTCTTGTCGCCGAGGCAAGGACATCAGCATCTTGGCGCCCAACGTGGAAAGCTTCGTGAAGAACATCGTCATCTCCCTGGCCCAAATGGACCCGATCGGGATGGCGGGCGACGTGTCGAGACGATTTGGTGATGTTTGATATGACTGGGAGGGAGGGAGAGGGGGGTGAAAAGGGTTGGAGACGTGTGGAGGATTGGGTGGCCACCTGAATTTCTGGGATATGAAGTCAGAGATGCTAGTTCGATCATCTGTCGGGATAAAGGATTATGCATCAGCTTTTCATGTGGGTCCATGTAAGCTTTGATCGTCAACGAGGTTCAAATTTGATCCTCACAAAGTTCGCAATTTGTGTTCTCATGATGAGAACTTGTTTGAACTTAGGCTTGAACTTGGGTTTGAACTTGGTTGAACTCAAGGTTCCTTGTCTTCCAAACCTAAGTCGTCCTCACGTACCTATATTTTTGGACAGGTGAAGAGGGGGGACCAGGTGGGAACTGACGAGCCCCAGAAAGTGTGCCAATCCAGGTCGCATCGTACCAGGTCGCATTTAGTGTGGAATCCAGATCCCGTTCCGGATCCATGTATAAATCTAAGCGTATAGTAAAGCAATACATATCCCAGGCACTCCATCTATTTTGAAGTCGGGGTCAATGTAAATATGCCATGCATGGAGTGCCTGGGTATACCTTGATCGAGATATAGAGATACATGCAACCTCAAATGATCAAAAATAAGGGCATATACCGAAATTGCTGTGCACTATACGTCTTTCATGAAAAAAACAAAAGTTCGTTTGAAATGCGTGTTTTCTGGTTTGGTGGCATTTTCCCACTTCCAAAGCCTGTCATACGGTGACAAATGGCAACATGCGGCTATGTCAGAAGTAGTGGGATACCTTCGTGGTCGAAGGGTGTGTTCATCCCAGAGAAATGGCGTCCGCTGCTCCCTCAACAGATTTAGAGCTTGTCAAACCGGCAGGGCTTCGTTTTGCTGAAGGAAAGCCACGCGTGACAAATTAATTTGTTCTACCCGGAAATTCCCGTCAAATATTATATGCCCGTCCAATACACGGCTTTACCCATCCTATACATGTCTTTCCAGTTCACTACACATCTGTTCCCATCCACTAGCCTACAGTTACGAAGCTTATGAATCCGTGGTGGGGCATGTCAGAGGATATGTCAGAGAGTGAGTTCAAGAACTGCAAGCGTGCTAAGCCGGGCATCAAAATGAAATGGAAATCCGGAAGTTGAGCTGGAAGCGCAGGCTCTGGCACAAGTGACAAACAGGGCATTCTTGTGCGTTTTAAGACAGGACCATGCTCACAGAATTGCACTATGTTGTTTTCAAGTGCGCATGTTTGTCCATCAACGAAGATGCAGGTATAGGCGACGTGGCTGCGGTTTTGGGGTGGTGAATGTAGGTACAGTAATTACATGGATTGTTTGTGTTTGGTATATCTCTAGATATGTTTGAAACAGCATCACCACATGGACGACAGCACGGACTTTGGGCCTTGGGCAGTTGATCACAAGCCGGCAGGCAGCAGAACCCGTCCCAAGTGCTTGGTCGTATCCATCCAACCATCCACCGACTGCAGAAATACGTAGCAGCCCCTCACAGTGTGGCATCTCGATGCCTTTGGCCACTGCAGGACCAGATGCTTCTGGACCAAAAGAACACTGGTCACTCGGTGCATCTCCAAAGACCTGGCGTTTTGCTAAAGGCGGTGTTGGCAATATATATGTCGAGGGCTCCTGGCCAACCTCCGTTTTGAAGGTGGTTGGGGTGTGCGCATATGGTTGGAGGTCTAGGGTAAGTCGATTGGGGTCAACATCACCAAAGTAGATGGTGGAACCCACGGGACTGGCTGGGAGGTGAATCCATTCGGATGGTAGCTCGTTTGGGATAGGAAAGACTGCGCGCTTTGCGATTTGCCGCTTTGGGCAGTGAAAGTAGGCCAGCGATTTGCTTCCATGGAGCGAGCCGGACTGGGCATATGAACCTGGAGTTCCATAGACTTGGGTAGCTGCAAAGAAAAAAACCTGACATGCACCTTCACTGAGATCATGTGGCCCTTTTGCCTTTGTTGTCAAAGTTTGGGCCTTAGTGTCAAGGCCAAACACCCTTATTTCCTGCAACTCCCGCTCTCGCAGGACATCATTCCTTACTTCATATCTCAACTATCGCCACCAGTCGCGGGCGGGCGCACGGTGTCGAACGCATTCCGCCGATTCCGCCGATTCGCTGAACCAGGGGATTCCTGGTTCAACACGACCTGCCGCTGGCTCCGCGCCAACGACGCCACATGGCGCGCTTGGATCCCGGATGAGAGCCAATGCTTCCCGGGCTTCGGTCTCATGGCGGAAAAAGAAAAACCTGTTGCGGTGGATTTTTTGGGCGGTCCTGGGCGTATTGACATCCTGGGGCTTTTGGATGTTGATGTCTTCGCGGCGCCGGCTTCATCCTAGGTCTCTATGACTCCGTGGCCAAGGAGTATGTAGGGCAACGGGTGACTTGCTCCGCCAAGCCTCGTCAGTGCATGGATGGTGGGATCGGTGGGGTGGTGCCGAGAGATCATACCCAGACCATGCATGGGACTGGCCTGTTTGACCCACATGGGAATGGTTGAGCAGGGGTCAATGGGGATAGATTCCAATCCCATGTGTTCATGATAGGGAGTGTCCAAGGAATTGGAGGAAACACTTGCTTTTGATGTTCCTGACCCAAGAAAGCACCCCCCTCAAGCCAGACCAACCGCTCCGGCTCCGCACCGCCTCCGGAATCCAAAGAAGAACCTACCCCTCCCTAGTGCGAGGTGCTTTTGGCCAGTTGCAGCCCGGAGCATCCCGGAGCCTACGGAAAAGTAGACCACCTGCACCTGGTTGTTTGAAAAATGTCATGGTAACGCCCTCCAAAACCGTCCAGATTTGGTGTATCAATCGCCTCGACCAGGGTCACCAAACAAAGGAACGGGTGCACCCGAACGGTACGCGAACCACCGGGCTTCTCAGAACGGAAGGTCCACAGGACGACGGGTCCACTCCAATCCGGTTTCAGTTCGAGTGACCGATTGAAGAAGGTGGTGAGATCATGTGGATCTGCAACAAACCAAGGGTGAGTCGAAGTCAGACTTCTGCAAAGATCCCATCGATGGTTTGCATACAGAATCATACCTTTTTTCGACCATTTTTCGTCATACAGGTGTCACAGATGAATTGAGAATCATGGAGATCTTTGGTGTTGGGATGCGTGTGGCGCTCCCAAAATCGAGATACCGCTCTCCTCTATGACTATGGAAGGGCCGGCACAGTCTCGGCATGGACTTGCCAGCTGCGCAAGCCATACAGATCATACAGACATGTCTCCAGCATGGAGTTTTGCGTGGAATACAGACATCCCTGACATTCCCTGACTGACTGACCATGTCTTTTCCATCCAATCACCACCCGGTTCCTTGATACGACCACCCGTGCGGCATCACTTCCTGGGGCACTTCCTGCGGCCGAACCAGGTGAACGCGACGAACAAGATCGTTTGTCAGGCGCTTGAAGGGCTCGACCGGTGGACCATCACCCCAATCGACCCGCGCTTGTTCTCGACCGACCTGGGTCATGGCACCATTCGGTGGATCGAACATAACCAAACCGGCTCCTGGCCCACCGAAGCGTCGAGACGTTCGTCTCGGTCGCCAGGGGGGGTCGAAGACCACCGACTCAGTGGACTGAGGAGGTCACGTACGGGGCCCACCTCTTGGGACCAATCCTCACCTCCTGACACGCCAGGAAGTGCTCAAATCGAAGGAAAAGGTGCCTGGTTCGTTCTTCAGTGACCTTTATGCTCACCTCCTGGACGTCAAAGGTCACGAACAGGCCTGTCAAAGGTCACTAAAAAGAGACTCCAAAAAGCTCCCGAACTGAAGAAGCGACCGGGGCTTTCACTTCGCGACCGGGTCGAACCTCGGTCCGCAGGTCCCCCGACTTCGAACCTCGCTCCGTCACGCAGGTGAGTAGGAGAGACGGGTGGAGCTGCGGTCCTGGACCCGTCGGGTTTCTGGACCCAGCGATCGTTTCATCTCTCATCCGGGATCGTGTAGACTCTTGATGAAGAAAGCCCCTCCTCATGAAGAGGGTTTGATCTCATCAAGATGGGGGGGACTTCATTAAGAGATATCAGATATATTAAGAGTCTACATTACGAGCTGCAACGAGGGGGTCACCTGTTTCATCCGAATTGATTCAGCCGTCGGTTCAGGATGCACTGTGCATGGCAGTAGCCTTTTTTGCATTTTAGGCTTGGCCTTCCTGGCTCCACCTCAACCAGACTTGTCCCATGTACAAGCTGCTGATCAGGTGAGCGTGCCAAGTCTTGGTGCCTTCCACCGCTTCAGCACGCTGTCTCCAAAATAAAATGATCCGAAGGTCTGTAGCCATCTAGATACCAGGACCCACAGACAGGGAGTTGGGTGGTTCATGCGGGGCTCCGAATCACCTTCCTTAGGGGCGGCTATGAAGTGGAGCCTCTGCCCTGCGGTTCAGCCCGCCGCACAGCAGGCCTGCCCTTCCGGCACCTTCTCCCAAGCGATGAGCGACAATACCGGCGACACCTACACGTGACACGACGAAAATGGGTCGGGAGCTTTGGTGTTCAATCTAAGGAGTGGGGTAGTCAGGTGACGAGCTAATTATAATATGGCTGGAAGGGGAACTTCGGTTGTGAAAACACTTGCAACATCATAATGATTTCTGTGCCTGACATGTGCAAGAACAAGCATGTCGTGTTGTGAAATGGCTCCCAAGCTGCGGTTTACAGAATCTATTTTGGAGCGCTTCCCTCAAGGAACAACGTGCTCAGAAGAAAAGACGTGCTGGTGTCTATTAATGAGAGACCTCTCAGTTCGACCCGTTGGAAGAAGGAAAATAGACCAACAACTGGTTGGTGTTGGGGGCTTTCCTATTATATTGAAAAACATCCAACCTACTTGATTGTGCGTTGCACGTACGCAAGATCATGCCGTGGTGGTCAGGTGTTGTTTCGGCACTTGATGGTACGAAGGGAGCAACATGGTGTGTTCGAAGCAATTTTTGCAATGAGACATAATATGTATAGCTGTATACCAGGGCCCCCTAAGGGGTGGTGAATTGACAGCCCTTAGCCTTAGCATCTAAGGGGCGGGCTATAAATATTATATAGACACCTCTGATACAGGGGGCCCTGGTAGGATTTGGTAAGTGCTTCGTCAACAAAGCCTTCCAGCAACAACATCTCTTAAAAAGAAAGGCGGGGCTGCCTCGCTACCCTACACTCCATACACTATGTACTTTAGGGAATTTTCTGCCAGCAGGTATACTTGTGATCCCCTACTGGAGGTTAAGGTCACCAGGTGAGGGGGATTCAAGTTTGTCCCACGAAAAAAATCCAACAGGTGGTGTCAGTTCAGTTATATAATTTTTCTAGGGATCTCCGGCATTCGGGGGGCCCTTCATGATCCGCTGACTCCGAATTCAGTGACCGCCCACCCACACTGGCGACCGGAGCTATGACCCAAACACTCCATGTTTGATGAACACATCGACATGGAAGTGGATGGCACCTCCTGTTTGTAGAGGACAGTCATCTTCCATCATCTTCCGAGGACCCCAATTTCCCATCCACTTCCATGCGAGTGAATCAGAGTGTATGGAATATATGGCTGCGAGTCAAAACCTCCCCGACCAAACCATGGTAGGTTGGCCTCCCTATGGAGGAATCTGTTCCTTCTTGGTGGTCAACCAGGGCGGGGTTTTGACCGCCATATGCCTCTAGACCAGTCCCCTGGAGTGGGTGATGCACCGTATAGCCTAGGTGCGTGCCATGCGGCAAGGGGACCAGCCAAGCGTCTGGTGCCTCCACCTTCTGCAATGCTTGCAAACAAGGCACCAGGGTCCCAGACGATCAGCCGCGTGTCCTGAAGATCCCTAAGAGGTGGGCTGCGGATTAACCAGCCAGGTGACCCCCTGTCATCCAAGCTGCTGGGGGCGGTTTTCGCGGGTTTTCACCCTTCTGTGACGATGCAGATCGACCCAAATCTTGCTTGACGCATCTCGTCGTCACCCATCTCGGAGAGATGAAGCCCGTCCGGTGGCGTGGGAGCTTTTTGGGTGTTATCAAGCGTCTTCATTGGGAGGGTTGAACCGAACCCACTCACTTTCATCTATTGTTCCTAAGTGAGTTAAGAACCACCTTCTGCGCGGTTGAAGGTTGGAAAAAAGAACGATGTGGCTCTGCCCGGTGTGACCATGGACACCCTACGGCACGGAAGTCTAGGGATGTATTGGTTGGGTTTGTCCGTTCTGACCTGTAACAGTCGATGAACAAATCTCACAAATTTAGAGAATGGCCTTCAACGGAACCATTCATCATCCACTGGGTCCTGGGAATGGCATAGACCCAATCCCTACAAGTCAATGAGTTCATTTACCGAAGTTGGTCATACAAAAACACTACCTAGTAGCGTCCTGGAGCCAGCTTCTTCAAGTTCTTGTTGGTGAACCCTTTTGTTGATCTTTTTGTCATGCCTGTTGGCCTCAAACCACACCAAGAGATCCTTTCGTTGTTCACACCCACGGCTTGGTGTTCGGACTGAAGAGGGGCGCCATGCTTCACGCCGCTTGCCACGCCTCCATATCTTGGTGCAACGAACAGAACCGGGAGTTTCACCACCAGAGGGGTTGGTCTTTTCTGAGATTGTCTTTTTTGTTCGAAACGGCAGGTGAGTACCAGGATGAGATGGGTCAGAGCACTTGCAAGCGCTGTGCCCTTGGCGCCTACCAGGAGATTGGGAGAAACAGACCTGGAAACACTTCCATGTCAGTGAGTCAGAGTGTAGAATCGATGCAGGAGACACGATTCTTTCCTTCGCAAGATATGGGCTGTTCAGCGTTTAGAGATGCTTCCTTTAAGGGATTTGCGGATGTTTTTGGGGATTCGGCGGGGCAGTAGGGCAGTAACCACAATAAGCTGGCTGGGGGGGGGCTGGAGCCTGCGTGGCTCAAGTAGCATCTCTCACATCAATCCAAGACAAACTACACACGACTTGTGCACAAAGTTTATGTTTAGAACCTCCAGCTGTAGGGTTTTTGCAGAGACGGCCCCGAAACAACATGTTTGTGCACCTGTCAACATGCTTGTGCATCCTAATTCTAAGTGGTGTTTCTCAATTCTCTCCCTTGTAGAACTGATGTTGCTCCCCTCCCTGAAGCCAGCCCAAGTGGGTGGGCCAAAGCCTTTCTGCAAGATCCATGACCCACGGCCCACGCGCCAAGTCACGGGCGCCTCGACTCACGACAGTTAGTGCGCTGTTGGGTACTTCAGACGCAGCGGCAGCAGCGAAGCACGATGTGGGCTAGGTCCGTTTGAAAAAACTCTTTGTTTGATCTTTTTCGCGTGACTGGTGAGAAAGCTCCCCTTCCATGAGGGATCTTTCTCCATTTCCCCACGCTCCTTTGCCCGGAACTTCGGGCCCCTGATCTTCGCACCGCTTGATCCTCGGAACCCTTCCGGGGCCCCGCGCTGACCGACCGCGTGCGACGTGGAATTTGGCCTCGTCTGCGGAGGACGAGTTTGGTGCTGAGATCTGCAAGGTGTGCCCCCTCGCGACGACCACTTTGGGTTTGGGTGCCGGCCTCGGTGCTCGCTGGTGTTCTGGGTGTTGGGACCGAAGGAAGGAAATGCACTCTGGTTCATGGGTGTTGACATCCTACCCAGTCAGTGGATAACCTTTATTGGGGGTTGGTTTCCCCACAAAAAAAAAGGTTAACCTTTTCTCTGAGGGAAAACTGAGGGGGTCAGACATGGATCGCAGATCCTGACATAGCTTCATGGATCGGGAAACGATTTTGCAGTTGGTGGAAGGGGGGAATCCTTATCTATGTGTTCTAGTTTTATGTCCTTCCGGGCTTTTGGAAAGCAGAAGTCAAGCAGCTGGATTGCAAGATGTTGGGATCTACAGAGTGAGAGTCTTCCCTATCACTTGGATGGTCTCAACAAAGAACATCAGATGAATACCAATATATACCAGTAGAGCACTCTGGCCAGGCCCTGTTTCAAGTCTAAGGATCTTTCAGTTGAGAGACCATGACATCAAGTTGTATACTTCAGCGAAAGACGTCGCGAAATGTTTATTATCGCACCGTCGCGAAATTGTTCTCGGCGTCCGTCCATCCAGAGATCCACCCAGGATCTGTTGCAATGACCGATTGCGGCTGTCAGCTGAACAACATCAACATGCAATTGTCAGGCGAAGCCGACCGAGTTTCGGGCGATTATCGGACGACGCGGCGAAAACGAAGACTTCGCCACGGACGGACAGTTGTGCCAGGGTTAGTTGCCGTCAGACACCGGCATATTTGGCGTTGAAAACCGGGAGACCTTGCTTGACCTGGAAGGTCAAACGACGTTGTTACATGGAGGACCAGGGCTCCATCTCAAGATGACTCCCGATCAGTTGGGGTTCTGCCAATGCCCAGTGGGCTGTGGGCTGGGGTTTGGAGGGTTTGGAGGCCTCTTGTTCCATGCGTGGCGTTGGTCCGTTGGCTGGAATCCAATGCGAAAATGGAATCGTCAAAAAGGAAGGGACGACTAAGACTCATTCTGACCGGATGGAGTCATAAGATGTCGTAATGTCATTGCGCGCGTTGTTTTTGCTTTCTTACGCGCACAAAACCATGATTTCATGACTGAGCTGCGAAATCGCACCCTCTCACGCCAAATTCGGGTCCAACCTGGCTCCGCCCATCGCGGCTGCGCGGGAAAGCTGGAGGGACCCTCCACCGGCTGCGCGGCGAAGCGGTGACCCGCCCACCAGTCTCTTTGTGAGAAGTCTAGACAGGCAACGACGACGTTTTTCTGTTTGGATTGAGAGCATTCTGCGGAGGCGGACCTTACTGAGACACTGAGATGTGTAAAATAAGATCGGATGAATAGGAGCATCATCATAAAAATCTAACTGCTGTGCACTGCAGAATAGGTGCTTTGGCCCCATTTGGGCATCCACTGTTCCTGCCCTTCGCCTTTCACCTGCAGGTGCCTTTGATTGCCAACCCTGCAGCGAGGGTCTGACGTGCCCCAAGCTCTCACAGCTGGCAGCATGGCAGGGAAGCGGTTTCAGCCAGGAGAGCTTTCCGGCCATAGGAGGGAGCTCCAGCAGACTCAGATGGTTTCCTTCACACCCAGGACGTTCCAAGAAGCCCGGTGAGGTATAGGTAGACACCCCGTTCCTCACCCCTTGACATCCCTTGACGAGGCATATACCTATAGACACTTCTGAGACTCGGTCGATCCTTCTACAATGGCCTTGCGACTGAAACGATTGACGAAGCAAGTTCTCCACCATCGAAAGCTCTTCGTCTTCGTTGAAAGCGCTTCGTCGTCAGGGATGTCCGTCCCTCAAGAGACACCGAAGGCCGACTTGAAGAGTGGCTCCAGCAGCCTGGGCTCCGAGTTTACCCCGACGGTGGTGGAAGGCCCGGCCGAGTGTGCGCGGCGAGGTGTGCGGAGAATGTGCCGGTCGAGCAGTGTTCGGGTCGTGCTCCAGATTCACACCTGGGGTCGGCAGGGAGGAAGTCCCTTTCTTTCGTGTCAAGGACCACGTTCCAAGGTGACCCGGTTCCAGTCCAGGTGTGAGAGAGTAGGAGCGCAGACAAGGCGAGTCGCAGAGGTTACGGCACGGTACACAGCGATCAAGAGACTCTATCCAGGACCACCCAATTAAGGTGGGTTTATTATGGTTGATTGAATGAACAACTTCTTCAGAGGGGTCCATCAACCACCCTTTGGTGGGTGGATCAGTGGATGCGTTCTCCTTGTTCATGGACTGGACGGAACGACGCTTCACGATGGACACCAAAAACGCGGCTCCGACCACCGACACCGACGGCGCTTGGCACGGTATTCACCCGTCGGCGGCCACGTGTCGTGTCGTGTAGATCGTGGCGGCGAAGTGACTTCCAACATGACGCAGAAAACCCCCCTCTGGTGTTTCCAGGCTTCAACAGGCAACGACTGAATGCGCAGTTGGCAATGAGTTGACTGTTCCCAAGGACAGTGTACTTCCAACAATTCGTCATGCATGACACAGAAAATCGTCCCCCCAAAGGCCCTCTCGCCTCTCTCGCCTCTCTCGCCTGTCCGGAACTCGTGTCGAAAGAGAAAGCACAGGCTATTACAGCACGGCGGTGGCGCCCACCGAGGCCGGCTGGGAGGAAAAGCGTCGATCCTATGGGAAGGAGAAACCATGAACGACCCATGAGACCACGGTTGGAAAAATGGCATCGAAACGCGACGAAAATGGAACAGGATCGAACGCACCTGTTGGTGTGTGGTGTCTTTTCCTGATCGAATGAACATACGGCTATCATACACTCCACATGTTTGGTGCTCCGACTCCAACATTCCAAGAGGAGCAGGATATGGTGTTGTTTGAAAGCCTGCTGATGGCCCAAAAGGATGGTGAACCAGACCTTTGTCTTCAATCCCAGGACCACATGATGATAGTTTGTAGGGAGTCGCACCTGCCTTGGCAGACCCTCCTGGCACCCGGGCCCCAGTCGTCCCACCGAACCGAAACGAAGGTAAGACTGGATCCCCGGAATAGTTGGCCACATGATGTGTGCCTGGTCGGACCCAGTTCGATCAGTGGTGCTGGAAACCAGGTTTTTCACCCATCACTCTGAGTTCTGCATGGATCTCCTGATCACGGAATCTCTTTCTGTGATGACTTGGGATCCACGTCCTTTGAGGTCTCAACAGCGTTTTTGCGAGGCTGTTTTGGGGCGTTCAGTTGGCGGCAAATAGATCTACCGGTTGACCGGGGATGCGGTTGGGCCGGAAAAGGCCACAGTGTTTGGGTGTCTTGGATGTGTTTTGGACATGGGTCTTTCAGGCTTTCTGGACGTCGCAAACTCTAGTTGCAGAGTGTTCCGTTTGAAAAACACAAACTGTTTGGGATGGAGGCCATCGCTACTAGGGTGGAGTCTTTCAGGCTTTGGGAAAGACCTTGAACTTCACCGCTCCTGACTGGGCATAGTATGGCCTAGTATGGCATAGTACTTGTTTGGGTGAGACACGTCCTGGGAGGCTTATACCACCGTTGGGGGGCGGGGTTAAAGATGGTTAAAGTATATCGACCCATACAGACTACATAGCAAGTGACAAGATGGAGAAGTTATGAGAAATTCACCTGTGCAAACCTTTTTGCTTGTTTAGTAGCTCATTCTTGGCATATTAAGATCTGGTTTTACCAACTTCCATTGACTGACCGTGTGAGATATGTTCTTATGTGTTTTTCTCCAATAAATATTCTGGCAAGCATGAGCACACTGAGACCACACAAGTGAGAGAGAGAGAGAGCACACACACACCATGAGAGGACACGTGTGCAAGAGCACACAGAGAGCACACTCACAAAAAAGCACACAATGTGCTGCGTTTCCCACAAAATCTGCACCTCCAGGTACACAAAGTGCTACGCCGAAATCAGCGACACACCAAAGCAGAGCCGCCGTGCGGGGCTCACACATCGTTCGATTCACAAGGGGCCCGGGGAAGCAACAAGTGCGGTTTGCAAGAAAAGCGGCAAAAAGGAAGCTTCGAGATCCCAAGTTCGGAAGCTGCAGAAAAATGACCATGTCTCCCAAATTCAAAAGCACGGGCCACATGTCCAAAGTGAACTCAAAAACATCCATAACTGCACCGAGCACACAGCTGCATACCGAAGTAAAGTGACTCCCAGGATTCCCACCGCACCAGGATTCCCAGCGACCAGGCCCAGGTCCTAAAAGGTGCACCGCAACGAGAAGGAAATCGCCCACCAGTTTGCTGCTCCGCCTGTGCACTCGAAATGCGCTTCCAGCAGTCACAGAGCTTGGGGTGCGAGCTTCATGGAGGTAGGAGTTGGGTGCCCCGAACGTCACATCCATGGCCCCGAAAGATGGGACGAGCCACACCACCCCGTCTTGTGACTCCTGATTCAAAGGTCTTGCCATCTTTGGCATTGAATTGGCTGCAGGCCGCCAAGCGCCCTCGATCAAACCAAGGCCTCGACGCTCACCGCAAGATATACCAAGTGTGATCACACAGTTTGGGGAAGAAGAAAGGCATTGGGATTGAGGGATTTGGGGGATCAAATGGTTCATTCCCCAAAAAATCCCAATGCAGAGAGCTCTCGCTGCCGACACCGATGGAGATATTAAACGGACCTGCCGTCTTCCGTCGGCAGGTCTTCCGTTGCAGCAGCGTGAAAGCCTGCCCGGGCGGCACGCCCAACTCCTGCGGTGGCGGCCTCGTTGGCACCCCCTGCGACGAGTGCAACCCAGGCAACACGTGCCAAAAGCGTCGTTGGAAGTGGTGCATCGGCGTCGGCCGTAGCAGGGAGGTGGAGACGGTGGTTCCGATGTGGAAACAAAGAAGCGTGTCAAGCACCGCGCGCACGACCATGTGTATGGGCTTCGGGTTGGAAAATGGTCAGGTTGAAAAAGGTCATATATCCCACATGTAACTATGACAATAGCGATACCACTGATACCACTGTTACATACTGTTACTATAAACAGTAGCTTCTTGTTCCTAGTAGCTTCTGGCCTCCAAGCGACTTGCAACGCCCCTGCACCGAGCATTGCGTCGCCACTCCAAGGAGTCCCAGACGGTCACAGGAAGCAATGCTCCACAGGTGGAGCTTCCACACGAGACACAGCCACCCACCATTCCACCATCCGAAAAGCGCATCCAATGGATCCCGGTCATCCCGAACCGAAACGAAGTACGACTGGAGGCCAAACGGGCGGGCAGGGACTCCTTAAGCCTCCAAAACTGTTCTCTTTGGCGACGCGTCGGCCGAAGCGTAGCCCGCTGCAGGCCAGACTTGGAACGGAAGTGAGTGCAAAGAGTGCGAAGTGTGGCGTCAAATCCTTTGGGTTTGGACCTCAGATGGGTCGGGGTCGTCGGAGTCGTCGGAGTCGTGGAATGTCATGGAGAAACCTCGACTGGTGAGACTTGGAAGTCTGTAGAGTCGCATGGATAGACATGGGATCGACCTGCTCAGTCAGACTTCACCAGTCAGCCTTCCAAGACCATTTTTAAAAGAATGGTCGACTGTTGACCTGATTGTGAGCATTCAATTGTACCTGGACACATAGAGCTTCTGGCTGAAACGAGGCTTCATGAGGGGATCGCAGGCCCCTTAAAACTCCAGGCCCGCTTCACGCTTCTATCTTGGCGCGTGTTCCAGGGTATATCCGATATCCTTCCCGTGATGGTGTTGGCCAAGGATTGACACCAACCAGAGGGGGTCCATCAGATAGAATGAATCCTTCAGAAACCACTATCTCACTATGCGATCAATCAATCTATGGCAAACTTGAGCACCACTTTGAACATGCATCAACTCAGTGCTTCAAAAGCCACATCCCATCCAAAGGTTCTTTGGTGCAAGCCGTTGTGCTGCTATCATCTCCCTCACCTCCCTCCCCTCGCGTCGACTCCGTCCGCGTCGACGAAGGACGAACGGGTCGTCCTGCAGGTGCTGGCGGTGCTGTGCATCTTTGTGTTCCTCACTCTGGCATACTACCTCACCTCCAGCAAGGTCCGAAGTGAATATCCAAAAACAGCGGAAGAGAAGGGGAAGAAGTACCGAGCTGGAGCTGCTCCCAACCTGGAACTCTATATCCCAGACGATCCAAACAGCTCGACTGGTCCTTCAAAACCTTACAGATTTGAGGGTCCGGACCCCTACTTAGAAGGGTCCATGAGCGTCTGGGAGTCAAGATATCTGCATCCTTCATAGTCGGTTCTCCTGGGACAAAAGAAAGTGGCGGAACGTCTAAACTGCCGGAACAGACGGAAGAATACAACTATAAAACTTCTAGTGACCCCCCAACTCACATTGCCTGGTTCTTCAATTCGTGACCAAACTTGATGCGGTTTGAGGAGGTCGCAACAAGTCCTCTAGGTCACAAACAGGGACTCCAAGCTAAGCCGGTCACGAACTCAGGTTGGTTAAGCCGACAGCGCCAAAAACTCTTCTAGGATTATAAGAATCTTTCATTGGAGAGAGCCTGTTTTCAAAATTTGGAAAAAGTCAAAAAAGGTCAAAAAGCAAGGCAATCCCAAAAGTCGAAGTCAAAAAGTAAAATCAGAAAGTTTCAGAAAGGCAAAAAAAGGTCAATTTGCCCAGATCCGACTTTTGTTCGACTTGTTTGACATTTGTTCGACAGTTTTTTGACTTTCTCGAGTGGTTGACCTTTTTTTGACTTGTGTTGTTTACTTTTTCTAGTTGTGTTTCTTGTTTAATGACGTTTTTTTGCCATTGTGTTCGACTTTTTTGACATTTGTTTGACGTTTGTTTTGACGGTCAATTTGACTGTGTTTTCACTGTGACTTTTCCATTCGACTTTTTTTGACTTTTATTTAATCACGGATTCTGGCCTTACCACGGCTGCTACTCCGGGCCGAAATCTGGAGGGTCATGCCCAGCTGGTCTTCGTTTGGTCTTCCCAGCTGTTTTAAGTCGAAGGTGACTGTGGATGTCCTCCAATTCTGGTCACCGGTCGTCCTGCCCCAATGCCGCTGCGAACAAAAATGATGTTTCGAAGCACCTCATGCCTAGCACTTCCTGTTTGGAGGCCTATTTACGTAGGGTAGTCGAATGCCAGGACACCCAGACGGGACGGTCCAGGTGAGTTTTCATGCGGAAAAACGAGTGACCCTTCTGAAACGAATCCTTATGAAACGAAGCCCTTGGGATTAGCTTTACAAATGGTGGAATTGGGGGTGTGTTGTTTCTTGAATACATGCACCACCAAAATCACCGAAACCATGTAGGTCATGCCACCGATCGGACCATTGATCCGGCTACACGGACCACTGACCGCACTTTCGTTGCTTCACCCGTTTCAGGTCACCGCGAAGGCCACCGTCTTGTTCGCCACCACGGCCTCCTTCGGCATGTTGGTGATGTCCATGCAGAACCTGGGTCTCATCGGCATGATGACCGTCGAATGGCCTGTCCCTCGGACCTCGACGACCCGACGACCTCGACCGATGGGACGGCACCTGCGACCACGACACGGGCCCTCGGGGTTGGATGTTGCCAGCGCTTTCAAGCGCTGCTGAAACCACGGCAGGGAGGGGTTTTTGGGGGGGGATGAAGATGCTTGAAAAAGGATGACTTGACAGAATCGGACCTTTGTGTTGTTGATAACTGACTCAGGGTGCTTCCCACGACAAGAGCTCGGGAATTGGTTTCATCACCACCTCGTTTGAGCATTTGGAGCAACCTAGACCATCTGGGTGAAAGCATTTTCATTACCCTGTTAAACAGAGCATGTCAGAAATGACATCAACAAACAGAGCATGTAAGATATGAAATCAACTTTACATGCTGCCTTCCTTAGAAGCACCTTTCATACCTTCCCCAACAGTGCCGTCTGCCTCCAATTTTCAAGGGCTTCTGGCTCAAAGTCAGACAGATGTGGGCGAAGGAGGGATGAGCGGAGGTTGGCAAAACCACCTACGTTGAGTTGTTGTTTTGGTCGCAAAGAATGGTTCAATTATGCTCAAAGGGTTCTAAACATAACAAGAATGATCATTTCTTGGTGTTTTCGTTCGCTTCTGGAAGTACAGGAAACCGTTTGAACCAACCCGTGGTGCTTCAGGTCGACATCAAGGGAATCTTCAGCGTTTGTCAATTTCTCCTCCTTGACATCGACAGCTACGGCTTCAGCTGCATCGCAGGCGTGATCTGAGACGATCCACGTCCCAGACGCGACTGGCATATTTTGCCAATCAGTTGGCATACCCTCTGACGAACACATCACATAGAAGTGGATGGCATGGTCCCTTGGAAGACGACTTTCCTGTACCAACAAGGGGTTTTCCACTTCCATGTGATGTGTTCGTCAGAGTGTAGTTGACCTGGAATTCAATGTAGGCATCTGTTCTGGTCCCATGGAGCCTCGTTTTGGTCTTGGACAGACCATTGTTTGCAGTGCACATTGAAGAAGCTTCTTGAAATCCAGGAGAGAGCACGTTCTCTTACTGCCTGATGAAAGACCATGTTCCCGGTGTTATGAAGTTGAGGTCATGCATGAACGGCGTGTTACCCGATCTGTTTCACCGAATGTTCACCAGTTGCCTTCCTCGGGTTCTATGAGCCAAGACCTTCTTTTACACACAAGGGTTGCCTCTTTGCCTCTCTTGAGCAAGGCCAGCAACTACCTCCTTTAATCCTGGCCGTGACTCACGAAGCGAAACCACAAATTACAATGCAGAGGTGACCTTGTTTATGGTTTCTTGATCGGAATGACACGTGTGTGTCCTGGACACCTGGGTTGCACGGGATGGGTGAACACGTTCAGGGCCCAGTGACTGAAACACCACCAGTGACTTGATTGATCTTCAGATATCGTCAGCTCTTTCACAACTTTATCTCATGCATCGTTCGGTGGATGAAGATCTGTGTCGAATCCAGTGTGTCTCTCTCTTTTTCGGCTGCTGGACGTTGACAGCCAAACAAACCATGCGCCTCTCAATTCTCAAAGTGCCTGGATACGCGAGCCCGCAAGCTGTTTACCATGCAAATGGACACCTGATTGAGAGACTTCGTTCAAGAATCGTGATGAACCGCATTTGTCAGCAGGAGGCCTTCCAAGTGGGACAAGGCACCAGTGGGACGGGCTCCGAGAGTCTTACACTCCTGTAGAAAGAAGTTCTGGTTACGTGGATGGCATTGCGCCGATGTCCACTCCAATCACCGTACCTCAGAAGGTCATGTGGATTCCATAGGATTCCATAGGGTCATGTCATACCAAGCAGGTGATGCCATCCACGTATCCGTGATGATTTCAATATGAGCCACGGTCAAAACATGCGAAGACCACTTTAGTAAGGAGTTTTGACCGTCCCTCATATGTCAAACGTAAGCATCTATCACGACTTTCAACGCCCGCTTTTGCCCTTCGAACAGCAGCAACTGTGACACCCTTCGAACTGCTGCGCCGATGCGAACGAACCCCGCTTGGCGCGCTCCGCCGGCCTTGGCGCTCCGCGCGCGCTTCGCGCCGAAGCGCGAGGCCAAAACGCTCCAGTGCGCTACTTGCTGAGTGCCTTGATCTTCCCCATCGGCAGCTTGGCAGGTAGTAGGTGAAGTCTGATGCTCATGAGATGCCGGACGGCTTTGGTGTTTTTCACAAAGAAATTCGGGGCGAAGCTTCAGGTGAAAAGGTCTCAAGATCGAGAGTCTCTCAGTGAATCTTCTCCAGATCCGCCAGAGGGACCAAGGGGTTTTGAGGCAGAGAAGATTGAGATCGCTCCTGTAGCTGGCCCATGCTGGCCCAGCAGTTCAGGAGGCCCTTTCAGGAGGTTTTAGATCCGTCATGGCCCAGCAGTCCTTGACTCTGCGTCATGGCACTCTGGTTGACCCGGGTCAAATGAACAGATGCCTTTATAGGGAATGTCAATCGTTTGCTGGGCGAGTTGCCATGACTCACAGACATTTGGCAGAAAGATTTTGGAAATCCAATGGCTGATCACTTGATGGGAACACAAAATCCATGCAATGCGGAAGATCCGCACGGGCGTTCTGAAGCTGCACCTGAACCAGGGGGCGTTCTCCGCGAAGGACATTCTTAGGATTGCCCTCAACTGACGCCTTTGCCCGCGTTTTGCATAGGATCATCTTTCTTTGCCCACTGCCCACTGGGATGTTCTTTTTGTTGCCCCGTTCCTGGTGTTTGGTCTTCGTTTCGTCTGTTTTCGTCGTGAAAACACACCTTCAGGTGTGGCTTGGCTGGCTCTTTGCTGGTCCATTGCCCGGGTCCTTCCCACGAAGTGGCGCTGGGATGGATCCAAAGTGGTGAGTACCATGGGCGCCTTCCTGCAGGTGGGTTTCAGCCTCTTGGAGAAACCGAAAACACCTCGTGGAGAACGACGACGCACGGAGATTCGGATGGTTTCCGAGAGATGGAACGACAGGTACAACGTGACGTCCACAGCGTGGCCATGGTGTTTTTTTTGTGTTTCCTACATGACAATGACCACACAGAGATGCTGTGGAGGGCATCCATGCTTCATATGTTGGACTCTGTCTCAGGGCCGAAACTCGGGCTAATTGATGGACTGAGCCGAGGGGGCCTCACCGGACAGAGCTGTAAGTAGACACCCTAGAGCCAAGGGGGCCCTGGGTACCGACGGTCGGAAGGTTGGGGCTTTCACCACACCGGCGGACGCTCGGTCGGGGCATCACGGGGGCTTAGCATGCTGCTTAGCGTGTGCATGGCTTCTGCGAGAAGAGCAGACCCCACGTAGAACCTGAGTGACCCCTCTTATGGAGGATCAACTATCCAAAATATGGCCTGATCAACAAGGAAGTCAAATGGGTTCTAGGATAGTGAACTACAGACTACTGCAGACATTGAGCAGGTGATATGGATTTCCAAGTGGATTTCCACTACATAACTGCCACACTTGCAATCACAAGAGTCTAAACTATAATAGTACTGCTCATTTGCTGCTGGGATCAGATGTTCGTTGGAAGGGAACTCTGGGAGATGTCCTTTCAACTCACTTCGAAATGGGGGCCTACGAGTCATGTCCCACTCAAACAGATTTGTCTCTTTCAATGCATGTGATGTGTCAGAACAACTTCAAGCCAGGGATCGCCCAGAAAATGACAAAACACCAAAGCCCTCTTCTGTTGGAACCGGGTTCCTTCATGAAATCCGAAGAAAGACCATTGGATTCGGCTGGATCACTGGAAGTACTTCGGCGCACCCCCACTCACTCCCCCTTTCCCAAAAGAACTGGACATCGTTATGGTTGGCCCCTTGGCACCTCCATCACTTGGGACGCAACGAGAATGAACGAAACCACGCAAGAAGCCAACCGCGCGGTTTCCACCCCGAACGGTCCGAGGTACCATGTCTGCGACCTCCTTGGCTCCAATGATGTGCTACAAGCACCCCAATGGCCTGAGGAGCATTTTGACGCTTGGCCCGCCACGCCTCTTCGACTCGGCGGCCGACCGTCGGAGGCGGGCGAGGCCCGTGGTCGAAGGGGGAAAGGCCGTAGTGACACCGTTTTGGAGGGACTTTAGAAGGTGGAGCAAGAGGTTGGTTGAACGGCTGTTGAACCCCTTCTTTGCAGGGATCCAAGTACCTTCTCAGAAGGTGATTGGAGACACTGTTACGTAGGCTTGGAGGGTCCAGTCGTACCTTCTGAGAAGGTACGAAAACGGATCCCTTTGTGCCGGTGAAGAAGATCGAGACTCTGTCGACATGGACGTGGGGAGGGAAAGACATTCATGTTGATTTCACCGAGATCCGACTCCACACTCTAGCTGGGCTCCAGCTCAAGTCGTGCGTGATGCCGGTGTTTCGTGTGACTGGTGGTCTCCAAGACCCTCCACCCACCCCCCAAAGATCTTGTCGCAGGAGTCAGTCAGTCGATGCTCACTGCTGTAAAAACTCCCGGCCTCCGACCGTCCCCAGACCGTCTCATCCACACAGCCCAGCAGGGCAGCCGGTCCGGTGCCCAGCGGCTCTCGGTTTGCTTCGCTGGTCACCGGTCACCGGTCGCTCTCTTCACCGGTCCGTGGTCCCCCACCTCGGCCTTCGTCGTGGCTCCCCGAGTGTTCCAGATCCACCAAGTACACACCCGAAGTGTGATCGTTGCTGGATCCAGACATGTAAGCCTGGACTGTACCCCCAGGGAAAAAGAAGGTCTTGCGCAAAGCCCCCAACAAAAACAAATGCAAAGCCACCTCCGGTCGCAACCAGTTCCAGATGTTGCAGCTTCACCACAGAACCTCCGAAGCTCAGGAAGTATCCTGGAGTGATTTGCGGATCCGATGAGCATACATCCATGCTGGTCATTGGTTGGCTCTTGCTCTCCATCTTCGTCTTGGGCTTCGTCGCCTTGTGCACCTTTGCCGTGACCAGGGACGCCTGGCAACGTTTGATGGACCGAAGGATGAAGGTAGGGACCTTGCAGTCCACAGCACCTTTTTTTTGGTACAGCCCTAAGGATCCGGACCCTCAAACCATGACAAATTGAGGTTCTCACACACCAATGCAAGGTGTTTAACATAGGGAAAGACACTGGTATTTGGTGGATTGTGGGGCGCCTGGCAGAACGAGGGAAAAACCACTTCGTCGTCGTCGTCGGCGTGTTGCTTCTGAAAGCGTTCGATCCGGACCTGACACACAAATCGCTCGATGTTTTGGGAGGACATGGCTTTCAGGCGAGCATTTCTCCACTCTCATGCCCAGCTGATGGGCACAAGCGCCACAGGGCACCCCCTACATCGATTCAGACCTGACCTCAGGTGCCCAGCTGGAGTGCCACCCGGAAGGACCACTTGGTGGCCTGCGTGCGCTTCTTGGTCTTCCGCTTCCGCCCCTCGGTGGTGCTTCTTTAGCCGCGGAATCAAATTCGTGGCATTGCAGGTGTTTGGATTGGGATGGGGAGAAGATCTATAGCTAAGGGCAACAGCTGATTCAAAGGCTAGGAATGTCAAGGATGACTCAATGCACCATTTCTTGAGCTCGTCGGGGCTTTGGGATCCTCGGAACAGACATCAACGGAGGACACCACCTTTTTGTCGAGCCTTCTCCTTCTCCTCAAACTTCTCCGTGACTCCGCCGTGTCCTTCTCGTTCCTTCGTTCCTGGGTGTTAAAAGTAAACCACTCCATACCCCAAACACTCCATGTATGTCATATATGCCGATCAGTTGGGGTGGTTTTGGGGGTCAATGTAGGCATATATGGCAGTCCCATGGAGTGTCTGGGTACCCAAAGCACGACCTGTCTGGGATTGCCAGTCCGGACTTGCCGATCGCTTTGACACCCCGTCTCCATGAGTCGTGTGGAGGGAGAACAGGGAGCCGCGACGTCACACGGCACGCGAGGCTGTTCGGTCGGGTTCGGTTCGGTTCGGTTTCGCACCGAGGTCTCGACTCCTGGTGGTTCGGCGTGCCACTGCTGTGCCGCGGACCCCTGCTCTCCTTGCCGGTGGTTTTGGCCACGGACTATCCTCCGGTGCAGATCCTTGGAACGTTCGGTCTTCTGCCGTTGATCTGCCGGGAGATCTGCCGGGGGACTGGCGGGTTGTAAAGTGAATACTGTATATGCTTCCACTAGTGCTTCCACAGCGGTAGATGACGATGGTCATATTCAATATCTACAGATCTTTCAATTGGATGAGCTTTCGTTTAGTGGTAGATGACTTTGGTCCAAGGTTGCATAAATTGGAGCTGCTTGATACTGCTTAGAGGGCAGCTGCAGCTAGGGTAGTAGAGAAATTCGGATAGTGGAGCTTGCATTCACAATGAAGAAAGTCTTCCGTCATGTCTTACTAAGCAGTCTCTATGCTGGATTTGGAATTATAGTCTGATATTTTTCATGTTTGTTTATCAATGCAGGACACACCTGTGTCCCAAGAGATTGTGCAACCTGTTTGTCTTGACTAAAGAGGTGTTGATTCCACTACAGGGGCTGGGTGACCCATTCTTCTCTGGGGCTTGAGCTACTCTGTTTAGCCTGGCCCCTGTGCAGCTCCATCATCCTGAGGATCATCGTCATCGCCGTGATCTTGGCTGGCTTCATGGCCATTGGGCCGCACAGGTTGCTATTTATCCATCCGTCGGCGCAAGCACGATGTAGATCGATGTAGAGTCTAGTCAGTCGTGTAGATCTGCAGAAAGGGCTTGTTTTGTGAAGACGATGGATAATTAATTCACATCTTCACACTGCATCACATGGTTTCCATTCTTGTTTTGGAGCGACCAAGTGTGTTTGAACAGCACCAAAAGCAACGCCTTGGTGGGAAAGCAGGCAAGTGGTCAGTGTGCCTATTTAGTTGATTCTCCAGGTTCCGAAGAGTGGAGATCTGATGAAGATGGCGAACTGCTGTTGAATGGAACTGCTGAACGGAAGTCATCCCCAGGTGGATTCCAGTTTGCTATATATAAATATAAATATATATAACCAGGGCTTCGTTCGGTCTACGGTTTGAGTCGAGCTGTGGAACCACAGGTTGCCGGTTTGGATCCCCCGGGATCAGCAGGACATCTGAGCTTGAACAGATGGTGATCTGAACACTCTCTCCAAAGACTTTCCAGTGATTTCCGGAACTTGCTTAAGCCCCAACATCCAGGAACGAAAGCACGTGTTCGCCGTGTGTCGACTTGGACGGAATCCAAAGTGTTCGATGTTCCTTGCCCCGCCTTGGCAGCTCAATGCGATGCCACGACCGGTGGGTCATGCGCGAGGCTTTCGTTTAACATCAACGCTCCCGGTGCGGTTTTTGTGGGACACCCCGTTCCGCACCTCTTCTTCCAGAGGCCAACCTCTTGGTTCGGCCCCCCCAACACCTTCGGAGGCTCCTGGATTTGGAGCTTTTGCGTGTTGTTTGGTGGTGGTTCTTCTTTCCCCGCCGCCTGGTCACTCAGGTCACTCAGATGTTGTCCTGGCCTTGGAAGGCCGTCGGAGGGTGAGAAGTGCTGGACTCGATGTTGGCGCCATTTCCAACCTGCCACCAGAACCAGCAGTTCCATGTTGGGGTGATATCCATGGAGGTTAGGTAGGGCCTGCCCCTGTCCTCACAGCCTCTGGGTTGGAACCAAGGGAATTGACGAAGTGACGAGCCACAGCATGTGACGACATGTGACTGCTGGAAGTGGGAAATGGTGCCAAACTCGTAGGAAAATTTGGTCAAGGTGATGAAGTGCGATGGGATCATCCGTGTCCTCAGCTGTGCGGATCCATCAAGAAGCCTCTCTTTTCCGAACTCCTCACCATGGCATGAACCATGGCATGTTAGAAATGTCATGGTGGGGATCACTCGAAGTAAAGTACTTTCCCAAGCATGCACATCAGATGTCTTCCATCTCTTCCATGGTGACGTCTCTCCACGTCTCTCCGTGGCCGGGTTTTTCACCCGAACCAACCTCCCGCCGCGCGAGGTGCCCATGTTGAACCTGACTGATGCGATCATCTCCTTCTGTCTCTCGGGACGGTACCGTTCACGAGCTCGGTGTGGACGGACGCTTCACGGTTCATCGCTCCCTGTTTTACACCACACCTCCCTTGGACCTTGGGGGTGTGGCTGGAGATCCATTGATCTGGTCAAGGTTCCGACGGTTTTTGGGGCACCATCGCTTCGTAAAAGAGCAGTCCTTTTGTTCACCCAGAGACGATGTTTATAAATGGTCATTGACTTCCAGGGCATACCAGCCCTCGTACGACTCAAAACTGGAAGAAAGGTTTTTTCACATACCAGTGGCCCATATGTTTTGCTAGGGAAAACCAGGTATTTGGGCCATGTGGAGCTGTATGCAGTGTCGGAGGCATTCGTTTCGGCCGTACAACAGGCTTCAGGTGCCTCTGCAGAGTCCGCCCCCGGGTCGATTCGACGTGGGCTTCGGGGGTCCCGGGTGCCGACGCTTGCTACAGAGGAGGACGGATCTGTGGTGTTTTCTGGTGTTGGTCCGGTCCTTTCTTCGTTCACGTGGTGCAGCTTCCAACATCTCCCCCCCACAATCCAGGATTGAAGCTCATGAGCCATCATGAGCCATCCAAACCCTAAGGCGTCGTCTTGCTCGTCACCACCTCCAGCTTACACCTCCCTGCGATCGCCCCCTGGGCTCAGCACAGGGGGATCTGTGGTGAAACCAGGTGAAACCGAAGGAGAAAGAAACAATCCGAGGGTGGCAGTAGGGTGCTGATCCGATCCATTTGTGAAGATTGACCTCTACTGACAGACTGATTGAAGAATGTCCCTTCTACCCAAAAAACACGCGGGCCTCCCCAGTGAGTCTTCTTCATTAGGGGATGTTCTGTTCTTTTGAACCTGCACCATGGGTATCTGCTCGTTTGAACCACAAACCACGCAAGATATGGCCAAACTTCCTCTCAAAACAGGGGTTATGTTTGGCTTGGCGTTCTATTCGTCTGGGGCGCTCGTGCATTGATCCTCCCAAGATGTTCAGCGTCACAGAGTTGAATTGTGAAGGGAGGACGCGCTACGAACGGAGCGATCGGACGCTACGAACGGGGCGCTCCTGGCCTTACGAACCGAACGGAGCAAGAGGACGCTACTATAGGAACAAGGGGCATTTGCCTCCCTGGCGCTGTTCACATCTGCGCCTGGAGACCTCCTCCACCGGCCCCGCAAGATCAGGAAGGCCCCATGGCCCAGTTTGCGGAGGCCGTCTCGACCACCATGTTGCGCCTGGGCGGGTTGTGAATTCCGAAAACGTCCGGTCGAACTCGTGGTCGAACTCGTTCCCATTTCCAGTTTGCCCGAACATGTCGGTGCCCGGTTGGAGGAGGTGGCCCTACAAGTCCAGTATAGGAGCAAGTGTGGTTCCATGGTTCTCCAACCATATCCTCAGGTTCGGTGGTTAGACCCCCCTCGCTGCCACCCCAACCATCTTCGAAACGGAGGTGGGCCAGGAGCCCTCGGGATTGCTTTTGGCTGGGTCCAGTCAACTGAGGTCCGTAAGACCTCTATTGTTGGATCTCTTGTTCGATCGCCACCCGACACCTCGGGGGGCCCGAACTGGACACCGCTTGAGCCAGGGGATCTGGACCCTCAACCAAACCCTCAGGAAGTTTGGAGGGCCCCGGATTCTGACCTACCTGGAGTCGACCCGTTCGTACCTCGGAAAATGGATACAGGTATGGTATCATACCTGTTTTTATGGGGTCATGTCCCTGGGTCAAGTCGGGTCCAGGTACTCAGGAAGTCTGTGGATCACCTGCAGGTCACCTTCCTTGGGGATTCGAGACATCCCACTAAACAAGAAGAGACGACACATGACCGATGGTGCGTACGGGGCTGAGAACATCTCTTGCTGCTTTAGGTCGTGGGGACCTGAATTCAGAGAGCGTAGACGTAGGACCAGAGCAACTCTAACTGACACAGGTTCCATGGTTCCTTGCTTTAATACTGTTTAAGGCCCAGCAAAGTACCTCTAGATCTGCCGTGATCTGCCGCCAGATTCCTACTGAAAACTTGGTTTTTTCCAATACACAAAAGCAAACACCTCACATGCCCTAGTCTTTTCATCACCGATTCTACGGTCCCAACTTCCACTGCCCACCTTCTCTTCCGCGTCGGCATCCCGGCCATCTCTAAGGAGCGGCATCGGCGTCGCGCTGGGCATCATGGTCTTAATGACCGGCAGTGCCTTGATCTACCGCAGCGCGCTGGGCGGCAAGAAGGAGGGGTTGACCGGATGGCCGGGCGGTGACCGGATGGCCGGGTGCAGCGCGGCGCAGCGGTGGCCGGAGGGTTCGATAGATGACCAGTCGACCCTGCCAGGGGCGAGATCACGGGGGGTTCCCTATCAACATGGCTAGCCCTAAGGATCCAAGTACCTTCTGAGAAGGTGGGACTGGGGTGGGTGCCAGGAGGTAATTCCTATACAAATCAAGACCTCATTTTGCTGGGGTTGGTCGTACAAAACACGGGTTATACGGGGTCTTTGAACTGTAGGGTAGGGATTGGTTCGTGTCCGGACCCCTACTGAACGGAGGGTCTAGGGTTGCGTTTGGGCAGTGGCAAAAAGTATCAAACCCGAACCCTGCGGCACCCCTCGGCGGGCGGGAAGAGTTCACCGGCAGGAGCTGCGGGCGTTCAACCTGGGTGCGGTTCCATCGTCGGACAAGCTGGCGAAGAAGGTGAAGGAGACCGATGGTGAGGGGAATCCCCGTGCAGCTGCATGCATCACCTGCAACACCTTTTTGGGGGGGTCAGGGGAGGGGGCGGAACCAGGATTTCTCCACAGAACCACCTGGACCCGACTGACCCAGTACCTTCGAAAATGGGGACGTCTGACCCCATCCAAAAAAACCGGACCAACGACGCCGTAGGCCCTACGTCGCCTGTTCCATGAAAGCAGAGGTGGAAAAAGGGGTGAATTCCTCACATAGAAGTCCCATGATAGGGCTTCCCTTCACCTAGCCTACCCCCCCAGGAAGGGGCCTATGCTAGGCTACCCCTCGGGACTTCTATGCCGAATTCCTGTACTTCTCGAGGGATCCCCTGCACCGCTCAGGGTGGGATTCCCAGTCCCTGATGCCCGAGTACTGGATGCAGGGTCGGATCCGGACCCGAGAGGCCCAGTCTCGGTCGTGGCGAGCCTCTGAGAAAACACTGTGACAGGGCATCCAGGCAAACCACGATGTCGCTGGGAACCAGTGGTTCCAGTTCGACTAAAACCATGGACTGAACGAATCCCTGGTTCCTTATATATACCCTGGGAGTCAAAGACTATAAAAAGAATGGTCTGACTAGGTGACCCGAGTCAAGGAATTTCCTTTACTTCAACTTCAGCCGGTCAAAATATAGTAGTCCTTGGACTTCACTGAGTATAGTGGTCACTGGGATGCACTGGGAGTGTGAGGGGCTTGCCGTTCTTTCTCCACGACCAGTCTCGACTGGTCGATCGGCCCCGAACCCGAAAGGTTCGACCAGGGTCGACGACCTGAACCAATCCCTATACTTAGAGACGACCTGTCTGGGACTGCCGCCCCAGCCAGACCCCCCAGTCAACCACCCCTGGCCGGCAGTCCGGACTGGCAGTCCCAGACAGCTCGTGTTTGGGCGGTTCGGACCGAGCGTCCGGGCTGTTTTCACTCAGGGAGCGTCTGGGTGGGGCTTCCAAGTGGCGGCTTCGTAGCCTACGGGTGTTTCTTGGGGATCAATAGACACTCTTTTTCGAACACATCACATGGTTACTTGGATGGCATGGGCCCGTGGAATACTACCGTCCTCTACAAACAAGGTGTTTTCCACTTCCATGTGATGTGTTCGTCAAAGGGTCAATGGCACAGACCCCAAGATCTGCTTGGGGGTCTGGGGGGGGCTGGCACAGACAAACCCGGGTGTTCTTTGGGATCACGATATCTTCTTGGAGGGAGGCAGGACGGGGGGCTTCATGTCTTGGAGAAGCCGGGGCAGTCGACCAGACCACCTGCGCCGACACTCGCGATGGCGGCTCACGGGGAGGGGCTGCTTCGGTTCACTGAATTCACGTGGTGAAGTGTGGGTGTAGCACAATTCCAGGTGGATATACTATACCCTACCCTTCAAAGAACCATTAAAAGAATGTTTGACCTGTTTTGTAGTGTAAAATTCACAGTATAAAACCATGGTTCTTTGGCAACGACCAAACCATGGTGGTTTGACGCTGGAATCCGGCGTGAAACCATCGCTGGTCACCATTCCGATGAGCCAAACCAGACACCATGCCCGCCTGCCGTCCGCAGTGGCGGACATGCCTGGGATCCCATGAGCCGACCGGACTGAACGACCGGATCGTTGCATCCAAACTCCTTCTTTTGAGTCGTATTTTGTAGGGATCCGTTTTCGTACCTTCTCAGGAGGTACGACTGGACCCTCCAAACCTACATAACAGTGCCTCCAATCACCGTACCTGAGAAGGTACTTGGATCCCTAGGGTATGGTACACTCTCCCAACCTTGGGCGCCATACACTTCGAGAGTCGATGGAGACATTTCGAGGTCGACAAACTCGCGCCCAAATATTGGGCTGACTCGATTGGAGCCCTATTTCGAGAGTATATAGGAACATTCCCAAACATTCCTCGTCGGTTGCCAGGTTCTCCACCCAGCGATTCAACGATGTTGGGTTTGCCAGTAACCGCTGTGGATATTGAATTATTGGTCAAATGTTAAAAGTGCACGGTCGTGTGTTCCTCCTGCGTGGTTGAAGCTGACCTTCTAAACCGGCTTCTGGGATTGCACTCCTTCATCAAGTTCAAGTGTCCCACTTTAAAATACATCTTCCAGCACCTTCCAAAAGGTCTCCTCTGGAGGCTTTTGTAGACTTAAAAGTCGCAGGTGGTGACCTGTTGGAAGGTCCTGGTTTGGAGATCCAATCAAGTTCTCAATTCCCACTTCAAAATCCGTCCAATTGACCACTATTGTCAGTACTGTACATCCAATGAACCGGTTTAGCTCCAACAAAGGTTTGATTCGCCTAAGAAACACGCCCAATATGTACCAGAAATACAGGGGTCTTTGTTCAGGTCTCTCAACCTCTGGCTTTGGGGAACAGCATCTCAACGCATCTGCGGTGGTTGGAAGCGACGGAGTTCCGGGTGCGTGGTTCCTGGAGCCGAGTTCGGGGCGCCAGGGTTCCCCTGACGGGCGGGAACCCGTAACACCTGAGCGTGGCGCCAGAATTTTCAAGAAACAAACCAGGAGTCACGGGCAGGTCTTTTTTTTGTCCCCAAGTGTGTGGATGAGGTTCTGGGAACCCCGACTACCTCCGTTTTTGTTCGGCACCCCGTCGAACGTGACTCCTGGAAGAGGCTTTTGGACTTTGAGGGGGGTTCGACCCCCATCGAAGGTCACGGATCGATCTGTCCAGGGCAGAGAGACGAACCGAACGAACCGGGACGACCAAAGGAAGCGATGTTCGGCTTCGGGGGTTCAGGAGTCCATGCAGTTGTTGTGAGATGGGCCCCCCAAAAAAAGGTTGGATGCCAAGGTTATGACATGAAATACCTCACATGGAGCGTTTGGGACAACGTGGTGGGCCAAGCGATCGTCCTTTTTAGGATTGAGTTGGCACTTGCTATACCTGAAGCTATTTATGAAGAATAGGTCGATTTCGCCGGCAGAACCATGACATCTGCTACGCAAAGTCCAACTTCCCCTCGCATCGCCCCACTGAAAACTGGCCCTGCGCACGTAGTTGGGACCCTTTTGGGGGTCCATGGATGAACCAGGTCCGACCCCCGCCGTCAGGACCTGGCGACGGAGTTGGAGAAGATGGAAGTGAAGGAGCTGTCGCAAGCGACGCTCGTCCCCGGTCCGCGGCGGACGACGGAGCTCCAGAGAGCGGCGGACGACGCGTGGTGGTTCTTTTCCGTGAAAGCTCTGAGGCTGGCGAGCTTGGCGGTCTTTGACATGAACAAGGTCACCACCTGCATCACGCTCTTGGCCACTGAGGCGCGATGTCGGATGCCGTGTGTTGCCAGGGTGCCTACACCCTGAGGCGCGATGCCGTGATGATGCATCGATGACCCGTCCATTGTAATGTCCCTAGGGCTTCTGGCCGCCCCCTCCGTATTGAAGATGGGCCAGGGGTGGGTGGTTTTGGGGGGTCAGTCCCCACCTTATCGCTGGAGCATGGTGGAGCCTAGGGTGTAGATGTTTGATGAATCAAAAAACACCCTCCCTTGGAATGTCCTCTACAGAATCTTCTACCAGGCCTGGTGGGCCTGGTAGCTTGTACAGTCTGTGCGGATGAGCATGTAGGCCAGGGATGCGATTCTGTAAAGAGTTCACAGAAATGCACCGACAAGTTCGTGGTCATGGATTCTGTGGAGTTTTAGATGGTTTAGTTATCCCAAGTTTGATTTGTTTTTTTTTAGCAGGGAGTGTTGATTCTGAAGAAGTGTCAGGTTAGAATATTGATGTTGACAAGAAACTGCAAAGACATAGTTTGAGGATGTTTGAGGGTGGCGCACGTTGGTGCGTAGACATGCCCAAGCACACTTAGCCCGCCTTTACAAGATGACTTTGGAAGCAACAAAGACATGCTGGTTGCAGGCCAACATCAAGGGAAAATGTTGTACAAAACATAGTGTTATGTTCATGTAGATAGGATGCAATTTTGTAAACCTGCTACTTCAAGGAAATGTGTTCGGCGCTGCCCTGGGTATATAGATTTTGTAATGAATTTAGACATGTATGTCGACAGTCAGGGTCTTGATCTTGCAGTTGATTCTGTTTGGCGGGGTGATTTTGTAATCCACTTCAAGCCTGGGACATTGATATTGTTTTCAGTCCTTTTCACAAAGAACACACCCAACCACGAGCCTGTTTCTTAAAGGGGATTTAAAGACAACACATGGAGTGCAAAAGCTTCCATCTTCAAGCTTGGAGGGTTGAAATTGCTGGGATCGCATCAATTGAAATCGCTCAAGGTCACTTCCTTGTGCGTTGGCATTCTCCCTACACCGCTACTGAATTCGGGACCAGGGAGCTTCATTCGGCTATAAATGGATCGCCCACGTATGCTGAACCACATACCAGGACCCTCCTGTCGGGGTGTCTATTTATAGCCCCTTAGTCGTTATAAGGGATGTCCATTAACCACCCCTATTGAAGGCCCTGGTTGTGAGCACCGGTCGTGGGCTGGCCCACTCTGAGGTCGCACCACCTGCCGAAGATGCGGTCACCTACAAGTTCAATCCGTCTCCCGGGTCGCACCATCTTTCACGACGTCGAGCGGGGCTTGGGGTTTTGGGCTGCTTCGTTGACACGGCGGCAGGTTCTGGCATTTCTGGGGTTTGAATGGAAGGGGAAACGGATGGTTTCACGGGGTGGCTGGAGATCCATAAGCCTAAAGAGCTGACCCAGATGACCCTGAGTTCAGCAAGGTGCTGCTGGTGCTGGTTGTTGTTGTGTGTGTGTGTGTGTGTGTCTGTGTGTGCGGTGGAGTCGTTCTACGGATGAGTGCCTCATCTAGCTGGCAACCAGTTGTTCCAAAATGTTCTAAAGGACTAAAGCCAGCATAGACTTAGAATCCCTGATTCCTTAGAAAGTGGTAGCCGGGATCCACTTGGGTTGTCTTCCTGTAGGACATACCTGTTTGCCAACGCCTTCTCTTGAGACGGCGAAGAGAGGGCGAATTCCTACGAATCGCCAACGCCGTGGGAGAGCTTCAATGACACGCTGACCCCATGACCCCAGATGGGAGAGGCATTGCATAATCAGAATATAGCACCTTCATGTCGGGGTCACCTGGCTGGTTTCGCCCCAGCTCACCTGTTAGGGGTCTTCAGACAGGACACCCCTTTGAAGGCCCAGATAGGACACTGATACTTTCAATGTAGACCCACCGAGATGGCAAGGAAGTGTCGCTGTGAATTGATCAGTGTCTAAGCAGGTCCAAGCAGTTCTCGAACCGAGATGCAAGCAGGAATCCGACAAAAGCACCACTCAAATCATGGCAAATGTCAAACAAAACTCTAGAAACAATCATGAAACACATTCTGCAGGCGTGTGCTGATTCGCCCCAGTAGGTGAAGGCCAGCACCATCGTGCTGCGTCCTTGTGTGTTTGGCCACATAGACGACTGCTATTTAACAATAGACCATCCGAGAGTCGGGAACAGGTGCCCGCGGCCAGATCATCGGCCCAGCCGGTGCCGCCTGTTCCATCAGGCGCATCAATTCCTCCTCCTTTGACCCGACCCTCAAGAAGGGCAAGCGATCCAAACGCTCGACCTCCTCCACTCCCAGCCAGGAGAGGTTCCTGGGAGAACCTTTGTGGATGCGTTTCGGGGATTGTTTCGCAAAAGATCTGGGATTGAGACATGTATTTCACTATATTTCACTCTTAGTTGGGGAAGAATCCATCATTGATCATGCCGCAAAGTCCTCCAAAAAAAACGATCGGTGCCACAAATTCGAAGTAGACTCCATCGTCCGATGTCTGCGGCGGATTTCACTCGGGCGCGCGCGAGTTGTCTCCTCGCGACCAGGAGGGCAAGCCCAGTGAAGAAGAAGTGGACAACAACCAGCCAATGCAGGGCAGCCCAGACATCCGTCGGCCCGGTGTTCCCGAGCCCTCGGACAAGGGGAACAACCAGAGCCCTGGAGCCCCACAGGTCACTCAGTTCGACCGAAGTGGATCGTTCAGAACCACTGAAAGCCACGTTCGGGCTCCAGTCGTACCTTCTGAAATTCAATAAGACTGGGGTGGGTGCCAGGAGGGTCCCGCATGTGCCAGGGTGGTTGGGGTCGTCCTTTCGATCCCTCCCAAAACCCGAAGACCTCCAATCTGAACCAGCTTCGATCCTCGCGTTGCCTCGAAAACGTTCCCGCCACCCCGGCCTGCCGCTCAGGGTGGCACCAGAGGAGGAGGAGCGGAAATCTTCCTGGATTTGAGCGCGCTTCGGGTGTGGCCGCTTCGTTGGGGAGGATGCCGATCTCAGCATGGCGTGGAAGAAGAGATTGGAAAGTGCACGAGCTAGAACGTTGATAGAAGGTGTGGGGTGAAGGACTTCTGTAGGATTTCTTTTGGGAGATTAGACCAGGAAATTGAGCCAATTGAACATGAAATGGTATAGAGAACTATTTGGACAGCACCCTCCAAGCCGTCCAGTTTCCCAACTGTGGGGATGGGTCGTTCAACCTAGAGCCCGACCAGTCCACCATGTAGCGAAAGACGAGTCCATCATGTGGCTCAACCAAAGTATCCTGGTGCCATGACCGACGATCCCCAAAAAACCCCTCACTAAGCCGCCAGAGCTGGACTCTGGGCCTTTCCCATCCTTCACCTCCGCCCCATGTGGCCATTGCAGAGCGAAAAAAGCACAGTCCCTTCCCCAGCGAAGCTCATCGAAGCACCTGGCACAACAGGGCCACTACACATTGACTCGCAAGACCTGTGATCCCTTCCGTCACCTCTTCTCAAGGAGTGGATGAAAGGAACAAGGACGCTACTAGGTGGAGGCCATCGCAAGTAGGTTGGAGGCCATCGCTACTAGGAGCAAGAAGCTACAAGTAGCTCCTGAAAAAAGCTTTCGCCAAAAGTTTGTTGGGCTGGCACGGGCCACTCCGCCTGACCAGACTGGCCAAGCGGAGCTGGTTGAGGTGGGAACCGATGGTCGACGCGGGGTGTCCTTCTGCACTCGATGCAAAGTCCGCAGCACTGCTTTTGGACACATACCTTTTGCAATTGCACTTGATGGCACCACTTGGGCACAGTCCGGACATGGACCAGCAATGGGTCATGGGGGTGGCGAAGCGAACACGTTCTTGTCCGAACATGGTGGCCGGGCACCAATCTCCTTAGTAAGGTGCTTGGGCATTCGATTCGAACCACGCCATTCGATTCACGAGCGGCAAAGTCGGTCTGCTGAGTCTGCTGCCGTGGTTGGTGATGTTTTAGACTTTTGGACCCGAGCGGCTTGCCATGTGTGGCAAGGAACGCAACCAAGAATGCACCTCAGAGGCATGGCATCATTTAACAGAGCCACAGATATATATATATATATGTGTGTGTGTGTGTCCCCTCTGGAGCCACGAGGTTCCCTTTGGATTGTTTTCTCGAATTTCGCAGGGGGGATCGCCCACGGACTTGACTGGTGATCCAACGAAGAGGGTCAAGTTCCGTGCTGATATCTGGCCTGATCAGCCAGACGTACCTGCAGTTTTATTTGAGAAATTTCATCGTGGGGCTAGAACAAGACGTCCAGCCTTTGCATCGGTTCATCATCGGCAGATGTGCATTGTCGCTTTGGATTTGTCGATTTGGAGTTGGAGGCCATGCAGGCTTTGAAGTGGCTTGGAACACCGTACTTTTACCTGTCCTGGTTCTCTTAGGTTTTCGCTTAGGCCGGCGTGTGGCAACCGCTTTCAAGTCAGTACGCATTTCTATAAGTGTGTGTCGAGTGATTGTCACAGTCCTTCAGGGTTGCTTACACAGACGGTCAAAATGATGACTCACTGGGTACTTGAAGCCTCAACCCCTGCGGGAATTGTGCGCGGATTGTGCCCGGGCACTGCCCTCGGCCGCTGTGCCCAAGGGGACACAGGTGCTGCAGCCCGCAGCAATGGCCGAAGCAATCGATCTTGATAACGATTGTTCAGCGATTTCACGCGTGCAGCAGGCAGTGGCAGATGGTTTGCGAGTGGCCGAAATCTTTGACCTGATGGGTGGGTTCCAGGGGTAAAACATTGTAAAAACTGACATATGGGAGTCTTCCCGCTTCTTCACGGATGCAAACGAGAACAAGGTTTTTCAGATCAACCACCATGACATGAGCTTCGAAGACCCTTTCTTCCCGACAAAATCCGAGTCATGGGGGACGTCTAATACTTGGAGTTGCTTTCTTGGTTTGTTTTGTACGTTGGGTTGCCCTCCCACCAGTGTGGAGGGTTCACACGAATTGATTTTCTTGTTGTATGGAAACCAGAATTCAGAATAATTTTTCCATGTTCTTCCCTTTTGGCCTTTTGCCACACCTGGGGTTCCAACTCAAAGCAAGATCACCCTGATCATGCTCAGTTGTGATACTCATGATCTGAAGCAAGTGTATATTTGGCGCGCTTGATCAAGATCAATATCTTTGGTGTGCTTTGTATCCTCTGGCGAGACGCGCCTGACGTTTGGGTGTGTATTTGACATCGGGGGACCCCCTCGCCCTGGACAATTCCGGCGACTGGTCTATTGCCCGTCTTCCGAACCCAGGGAAGTTGAACCGGGAAATCTCTCCTGGAAGTGTTCATGTGTTAAATACACAAAATATGTTCATTGAGCACAAATTGAGTTTGTATGAGCTACTAGTAACAAGGCACCGAAAACTCCTAGTACCAAGAAACTACTAGCAACAAAGGGCATCGCTCCCAGTTTGGACATGCAGTTGGGAAATCAACAAATTCGACCCCTACGACTTACAATTCAGCCAGATTCCTTGTACCAGTGAAGTGTATACCCTAGGCGTCCAAAGACTATACTTTTCCTTTCAGGAAGTTAAAGATGTTTTCTTTTGGTATCCTAAAGACAATACCAACATACCAACTATTAGTTTTGCGTTTTTTGCTGGGCTTGTGGCTGCTCAGTCATATAAATATTGTGTATGGTTTAAGTATACCATCAATTTGTGCTTACGGGGTACGTCCGCTGGAGCCCAAGGTACCTGTAACAATCGGTAAAGAAGTCACTCGCTAGTTTTATCTATTTTTGAACAAGGCCTGCAACTGAACCATCATCATCCACTCGTCCCTGCATGGTAATAGGATAGACCCAGTGATAAACCCCCCAAAAAAGACTAGAGTTTACTCATTAGAAGGGCTTCGAAGGCTCGTTCGCATGAATTCCATGGCCCAGAAAGTAGGTAGATCGAGACAACCTCAAAGACTCTTCGGGAAGGGACCGGGAGGGAGGTTTCCCCACTCCAATTCAACAGGTAGCGGTGGTTTCAGTTCGGTTCACCTGGTCAAAGCAAAACGGCGAGCACTTGGTGAGCTTTGGTCTTTGTTTTCCAACTTAGCGCCGGTCACTTGGCCACCCGTCGCGACGGTTTTTGGACCGAAGAATCTCTGCTACATCGCTGGTACCGATCGAGCATGATCTGCTCAATCAATGCACGGTCAGCGCGAAAACGGGGTGAGCCCGCAGGGCAAAAAACCCTGCTCGCGCGCCCACCTGGGCGCGCACCGCGGTGCGCGAAGCCCTAGTTTCGGCAATTCGCGGACAGTCCATAGGCTTCTGGCCTCCGGAAAGTACGTTGCAAGGCCTTTTTGGGGGATTCGAGACGCCCCACTAAACAAGAACAGTGTCTCTTTGTTTGGGTTCTTTGACACTGCCCCGACCAGAGTGTTTGCCACGTCGCGGGATGGGGGGGCTGGAGCGAACAGGTGGAAAAAGGTAAACCATGGTCAACCATTGTCCACCATGTTTTTTTTCCAGGGAAACGGCTCGGAAGTCAGCACTGAGTCTCAGTACATGAAGACAATTGTGACAGGTTCGTGAATTCAAACTCTTCCGGGTGTGTCGACATAGCTCAGACTCTCTGGCACAGCTATTTGTTACGCTTCTGTGCTGCTTGTTTCATAACTACCAGCACCCGACTTCACAGCTCTCCGAAATGGTGGCTTTTGGAGACTTTTTTCAAGTGGCTGGTAGTGGTGACCTGTGAAGTCGGGTGCTGGTAGTTCTTTGCTTGTTGATGTTGGGACTTGTGGCGACTGGACTTGACGAAATTCGACACCAGGACCGCGATCAGGTATTCATAGACGGGACACCAACCGGGTTTAGTGGGAGCCCTTTGGGGGGGGTTGTGTTTGACCAACAAGTGAACAGACCGGTATCCCTGGGAGTCAAAGACCATTAAAACAATGGTTGACCTGGTTTTTGTATTCTAAAATCCTTAGTTGATTGGGTAAAGCCTATTAAATTAATGGTTGTTGGAAGCCTAGGGGTATTCATGTATTGGCCCTGGAAACTGTGAACAGACCATGCGGCCTACCATGATTTTTCGCCAGGATCATGGTAACAAGACTGTCCAATGTTGGGCTTCGTCCCATGGTTGACCCCTAACCTTCCGTTGGACGATTTAAACACGGGCTGTCACATAGGTAATACATGGTTGACATCGTTTTCAGTTTGGTAAAGACCACTTGAACAATGGTTGGTGGAGTTGTTCTGCGTGGTTGGTGGAGTTGTTCTGCGTGATGGGGCCCGTAACGGGGGTTGTTCTGCCCCGTTTCCTGTGGATTGTCGAACGGATCGCTGGGACATTTGTTTACAAAGTTTACGAAGCTCGCAGCATTTGGCTGTGACTGTTTGTGTCGCTGGGCGGTCCCTTGTGTGTTTGCTCTCTTTTCTAGTGGCAAAGAGAAAAGGAATCCAACTTCAAGTTCTCTAGGTGAGAAGTAGGACAAACATAGTGTCCTTCATTTGGATTGCCTGCGGTATGCTCATCAAAGGAATCAAACGCCATAGGTAGGTCCCTTCTGGGGGGTCCATGCGTGTGCGTGTGGTTGTTGTTGATGAGCTCCAATCAGATTGACATCATTTGCTTGCCTTGACCAGATAATAAGAGTTTTAGCCTTTCTAGACGTTTGATCTCCTGGAAGAGTGTAGTGGAACTTCAACATGCAACAGGAGAAGTTGCTGGTACACTCTGACGAACACATCACATGGAAGAGGAACATGGTCCCTTGGAAGAGGACTTTCCTTACGAACAGTGGAGGTTTTGTTCACTTCCATGTGATGTGTTCGTTGGAGTGTAGCAACATTCGGTTTGACCAGGTAGACCCGTACGGACGGTGGAATCCCCGTGTGCGGCGCCTCATCACGGTTCGATGGATCGATTCAGACGCACCTCTCGAGAGAAGGATGGTCCGAGGGTAGCGGATGGCATCTCCAAGTCACTTGCACCATGGAGACGACGGTGAAGTCGAAATTGCATGACCAGAGTCACACGTGGGTTCCAGACAAACCCTTGCAAGTACCCTTGCATGGAAGGACGATCGAGAAGATTTCCCGGTGGCTGGCCAGCAAATCCAAGCATGTGGGTTTCATCCTAGCTTAGCGGTGGCCTCCAACCTACTAGCAATGGCCACTATCTACTACACCCTGAAGAGTCAGCCATGTGGGAAGCGAACTAGAACCAGGGAGCTGGTCGAAAATCTTTGGGCCGTGTTTTTTTTAAGCGACCAGCGACACATCCAAAAGAATTAAGGGCATGCAGGTCCTAGTTGAGCTATGGGCCTTTTTCCGACCTACGGTGGAATGCCGTTCAAGCTCACTCCAGCCGGGGATGATGTTAATGTTGGACGCGTGGTTGGGCTCACTCGCCATGCGGGAATCGAACTCTTTGTTCGATGCACTGCGTGGTGGAGACTTCCTGGCTGAGTGAGCAAATGGTCACGCCATGTCACTGCGGAACATATGGGCCATCCACAGAGAACAAAGAAAGCGGATTCCTTTGAGCATGGCAGGTGTTGCCCAAAGCATCCAGCTAAATTCTGGTCTATGTCTTACCCACCCAGAGGGGGTTGAGAGGCCTGAAGTGGTATAGGGCTGTTCTTTCGCTTTCTTAGCAGGTTGCCTTTCGTGGACAACCTGCCGGTCACCCAACGACTCTTCGGGAGAAGTGAGACACTTTCGGTGAGATCTCATGGCGGTTTCGGTTTTTCGTTGTTCGTTTCGGTTCACCCCAAAACCTCTTGGGTCCACTATGGTCCAATGGTCCAACACATGTCCGGGAGTCGGACCCAGGTGGTGTGTTTGTTCACTCCAAGGTCGCCAAGGTCAAAGACCAAAGACATAATTATTATAATCGTCCTTGAGACCATCAACTGAGTTGTGTTTTGCTACCATCAACTTCGGTTTCTCCTGAGGCCGCTCACCACGGGTGGGTTCCACCGGGCTCGTCCGCAGAAACCACGGGCACCACCCAGGACGCGCGGCGACCGCAGCTGCAGACAGCCCTCCAGGAGGTCAACGAGCAAAGAGCCGCTGAGGGCGAAGAGTGAGCTTTGTGCGACCAGGGCGGGGCTTGGGAAGACCAGAGACGTCTGAAAAAAAGGAAACACCCTCCACAACAGGTCTCCGAAGTGGCCAAATGGTGGTGACCTGTGTGTCCCAACGAGACGCTTCGGTGGGCCAGACGGGAACGGGCGCTATCTCAAGGGTCGATACAGCCGTCCACCGCCGGTCCACCGCCGTCCACGTCTCGGATGGTCGGGTCGACCCTCCCGAGGCAGGTCGCACGTTGGATGATATGTTTGGGTGAGTCTGGGTTCAATCCACCCGGTGGAGGGTTTCACAGAGATCCGACTCTTTGACCAGATCAGGTCTCGAAATACCCTCTCTTGGGCTGTGCGAGTCGGTTGTCTTCGACTTGGCATTCCGAAGACATCACCAGGACGAAGGTGAACAGAGAGCTCCCCCCGTTCACTTTCAACTGGAAACCCCGGACTTGGCCTCCCTTTTGCACCTGTGGAATCCCTTTCGACGATTCTCGTGGAGCGGGCGCTGCGGGCGCGCCGCCGCGCCCTTTGAGGCTCATGAAGCCAACGTGTGCAGCTTCCTGAAGCGGAAGACGGAAGAGTTGCAGGCAGAAGGCCATCGGCTGCAAACGATGCACATGGACTCTGAGACAAAGATGTGATAGATGGGATGTGTGAGTGGGATTTCAGATGTTCACCCATCCGGAACTTTCGGACATGTTACACCCTGGAAGACGACGATCCGACCCTGAAAACCACTGCGTTGGTAGAGGATTTCACACTCTCTTCCAGGGGGGCCAGGACGTCAGGGTCCGATGCAATTCTCTCCCAGACACCTACAGAAACCCCTGATGCCCCCGGTACGATTCGATCCATGTTCTTCCAGATCTCAATGTCTGTGGTGTTCCATGCCCCCGGTACCGGGTGCTTTCGAAGATGTCATCGGTCGGCTGGGCGTTCTTGGGATGCCTCATGGAAGATGGAAGATGATGGAGGCAATTAATTGCTATTCCCAGACGCTCCATATATATGGTAGATATGCCTAAGTTGGGGAAGGTACTCGGAGGCCGATCGGGTAGTGGTAAAAAAGATAGGTTATATGGGCGATATGAAATGATATATAGGGCTGTTCAACCTCTCTTGGCTCTGAGGAGTCTGGCTCCAGCTGCCACGCCACCTTGGAGCTCTACCGGCGCCAGGCCTCAGAAGAGGCGGCCGCCTTACGGCTGCGCCGCGCGCAGCAGCAGGCGAAGGTCACGGAGGAGGAGATGGACTCTTCGGCACCCGGGGACAGCGACCGACGTTGGATGGCACGAAAAGGGAAGAGAATGGACTACAAGTCATCCAACAATCCAACGTCCAACGTCTATCAGTCTGATCAGTCAGTCCGTTCTGACAAGACTACAAGTCCAGTCTGATCCAGGTCCAGTCTGGTCTTTGACCTCGAGTACGACCTCCGGTAGAAGAGGTCGAACGACATGGTGGGACGCGTTGTTTGGGACGAACGGAGGGACCTCGACCAGACATGGTCAACCGGCCAAGGGTTGGGCCTCCATGGGACTCCGGGTATTGACTCAGTGCCATATGGGACACTCCCTGATATCCCTAGGCCTAGGCTTCCAAGACTATTTGTAATAAGCCCAAAGAATATCCCCAACAGCTTAAGCGCAAAATGCAACACGTTTTCTTCAGGTTAGCAAGGTAAACTAAGAGGATAGGATACTAAAAGGTTAGCAAGGTAAAAGGTAACAGTAGGAAGCACAGTGAAATAGACTTGAGGTATGATGCTGTCGATTCGGGCCCCGAAACCGGATTCGGGGCGCGAATGGAGAATAGGAGGAAACTAAGAGAATAGAATACTAGAAGGTTAGGAAGTTAAGAGAAGGAACCACAATTGAATAGACTTGAGGTATGATGAGGTTGCCTTGACTGTGGATTGGGGCTCCGAAACCGGATTCGGGGCCCGAAACCGGATTCGGGGCCCGAAAGCGGATTCGGAGCCCGAATGGAGAACAGGAGGAAACTAAGAGGATAGGATACTAAAAGGTAAGCAAGGTAAAAGGTAACAGTAGGAAGCACAATTCATGAAATACAATTGAGGTATGATGAGGTGTCCTTGACTGGCCCGAAAGTGGATTCGGGGCCCAAAACTGGATTCGGGGCCCGAATGGAGAACAGGAGGAAACTAAAAGGATTCGGATAGGATACTAAAAGGTTAGCAAGGCAAAAGGTAACAGTAGGAAGCACAATGAAATAGACTTGAAATATCATGAGGTGTCCTTGACTGTGGATTCGGGCCCCGAAAGTGGATTCGGGGCCCGAATGAAGAACAGGAGGAAACTAAGAGGATAGGATACTAAAAGGTTAGCAAGGTAAAAGGTAACAGTAGGAAGCACAATGAAATAGACTTGAGGTATGATGGCGTTTCCTTGACTGTCGATTAGGAACCTTGCGGGAACCTTGTGGGAAACTTGCGCCAACCTTGTGGGAACGTCGGGGCCACGTTGTGGGAACCTCGTGGCAACCTTGGAGCAAAGCTGTGGGAACCTTGGAAGAACCTTGTGGGGCAAAGTTGTGGAACGATGTTGTGGGCACCTTGGGAGCCTTGTGGGGCAAAGTTGTGGGAACCTTACCTTGCAAAAAAGTTGTGGGAACCTTGTAGGAACCTTGAAGCAAAGTGGACAAAGTTGTGGGAAGCTTCTGGGAACCTTGCAGCAAAGTTGTGGGGACCTTGTGGGAACCTTGGAACCTTGGGGCAACCTTGGAGCAAGGTTGCGGGGATCTTTGGTCCCTTGTGGAACCTTGGAAGAACCTTGAGGGGCAAAGTTGTGGAAACCTGGTGGGAACCTTGGAGCAAAGCTGTGGGAACCTTGGCCTTGGGGCAACCTTGGAGCAAAGCTGTGGGAACCTTTGGTCCCTTGTGGGAACCTTGTGGGAACCTTGAAGCAAAATGGGCAAAGTTGTGGGAAGCTTCTGGGAACCTTGCAGCAAAGTTGTG